AACAGTCAGTTAATCTTGTTACAATAAAACCACAGAATCTCTTCCGATTCCTACATTTCAATTAAACATACATTATGCAAGAGCTAAATCTGCCTATTGCAAGTCTTTCTTTAGGCCTGAAATGTTATATAAACTATTAATTAGATATTTATGAACAAAACAAGACCAAAATTAACTCTCGATGGCATCGGACACTCGAGATTTTAACTAGATTATAACGGTTCGCCATTTAAAAAAAAAGTAATTTAAAAGGGCTAAGTCTCGAATCCAGTGCCCTGGTTACCACTATGCACGCATCTTGTCACAAAACTACAAACAGTGATAACTTGGCTCGGAATGAAGTAACTTGAATGAAATTTTCAATGTATTCATTTTACATTATCTATTTTTGAACTATTATAGCAAGCATGGCTAGCTCTTTATCTAAATCTTACATAATGTATCTTTAAGTTTCAAATATCCAAACCTCGAGAAACACGCGATTAAAATTAGAGCTTTAAATTCATCCACGTTAAACCCTCTTCTGTGCATAACGAATACTTCGATACGCGCTTACTATGCGCAAAACGTCCGCGCACTCGCTACGCTTTCTGTACAACCTCGGCCTCGCTAAACAGCCATGGTGCAGGCTCCATACCCGCGTGGAGAGGTCGTAGCATATCACGCTCTCCACGTTGAGACCATGACCCCAATATGCCTTACTACGCTTACAAATATCTCCCCACGACCATGCCACGTGATATATGTATGAAGGCACCCTTTAACCCTTTTGGTGCAGAAAAGACGGACGTTAAACCCCATTTCACAAGCATCTTATATTTGGCAACTGACTTATTTTTATTAGTCCCATTGATGCAGAAATGTAAGACGTTATCCGAACTTGGTTTAGTTATCGTTTGATAATTTGTAATAAATATCATACATCTGTGCATGTTCCGTACGTAACTAACGTACGAAAATTAATTTTTCGCACGTATACAGTGAATGGCCATTTTCCTCAGTAATCTCAGTCAGAATTTGGCTATTTTCTAAATTTGCGTTAAAATTTAAAATATTTGTTTTAGAACTGAAACACATTAACTATTAGTCAATCTCAACGCTAAAAACATCAACAGAATTGATTGTGTATATCTGAAATAGACCCGACCGACGCACAAAATAGTGCAATATGGCGGCCTCTATGAACAGACGCTGTCATTGAAGACAACGTCAATTCTATGAGTTGTAGATGTTATTTTTGTGAAAAATCATTGGAAGAAGAGAGAACATGTTGGGACTGTACGAAATATATGGTCTTTATGGGTGCAAAGGACACAATGCTGAAGATAAACCTATTGTTTACAATCTAACGTGTTGTTGACCTCATGACCCATTGACGTCAATGCCATGACCTGTGATGTGTAGATCACGTGATATGGATATCATGGCTATTGACTGTGTCTGAGATACTTCTCCGCAGGTAGCGTGTCTCAGATGTTCAGAATGTGCATGTTCCTGAAGTAACGACCGTGAGTTTTACAACATCTAATAAAGAAAGAGAGAGAAATGGGGTTTAACGTCCACTCGACACAAACTAGGTCATTTCAGGACTAACATATGGTTCTATTTTATTTAAATAATTCGCTTGCGCGTAGGGGTCTTTAGCAGGAATAGAAACCACGAGCTAACGATTCGGTCATCCAATCCCCCCACCCCCAACATCTAATAAGATGTACGGCGTTAAAGCGAGATAAAGCCTTCTACTAAAGATGACACCAATATTCAAAACCCATATTATCGTTAGTCATTTCACACTACTATGGTGTCATATTAAGATATTTAGCTGGTATTTTATGACTATAATAGCAAAGTAGGACGTCCAACCCATTTAGTTGGTGTTTTACGGACTATAACAGACAACTAAAAGCTTGTACATATAACTTACTGCCCACGTGTTAATTATATGAGCAAGAAATAGCAGTAATTCTTCATTTTAACCAGGAAGTTATATATAATTATTTACTTCTGTTCTCTATGGGTTTTTTTTTACGATCTTTTTGCACTGACTGTTTTGGTTGAATACTTGCTATTTTTCTTCGTGCTTCGTCAAATCGAGTACGATAGACGTGACACTTGGCATGTTTGCCTTTCGGACAATTGCGCATCGATTGATTGTTCAAAGGACTCATTTTCCGATGAGATTTCCTTTGTCAGTGGCGAAGGACGGAGGGCGTGACAGGGACAGCTGTCTAGTCGTTCGGAAAGAACGAAAAACTTAGATCGCGTGTAACCATTGGCGTGCACGTTAAAGATTCCTGGTCAAATTTCCCTTATAGCACACTGTATGGCGTATAGCTGTCTTCATTAGCCCAGTCGGAGCAGAACAGTAGGACGTTAAACCCCCATTTCATTTCATTTTTATTTTTGAAAGGACTCCATAATTCCACGATGGCTGGCATGGCGCCATTCTCGGTTCTTGGTCCATGTGCTTGTTTCTAATTCTAATTTTAGAGTAATACCGGGCATGTACGGTCGCCTGGGTTTTTGCCCCACTTTTAAAAATCACCTCGGTACCGCTGCCCCCGTAAACAACCCCGTAAAACATATTGCATTGTGTATACCCGTTTTCGGGGGGTAATGGCCGGGTTTTGACGGATATGACTATGGCGGAATAGATCTTCAGTGCTAGTAGTTTGCAGACATATCTTGGCGGGCATTTTGACATTTCAAAGAATGCATGTTATATTATGGATTATTAATTATTCATACGTATATTAAAAGGATGGATTTAATAGTCATACAAATATAATATATATTATTAGCCAAAGTCTCGAGGGTGAACGTGTGTATTTTTGTCACAAATGGAGCATCCCTTGTCGGAACATTCTTAATTGCGCAGTCTCGTTTTATCGTGCCACTGAAACGATTAGCCACTGTTTGGTGTCAGGTCGTCCGTCCTGAACAACAGACAGAGGGACATCACGCCGGATAGTGAGAGAGAGAGAGAGAGAGAGGCCTTTAAGGTTCGCTTGACACAAACTAGGCCATTTCGGGACTAACATAGCGGTCAATTTTACTTCAATAGTTGGCTTGCGCGTAGTGTTTAGCAGTGGGAGGAAACCGGGAGACCTAGAGAAAACCCAAGAGGTTGGACAGGCGACCCTACTCCTTGACACGTACAAGCGGAGAATCGAAACCACGCCACTTTGCTTCAATGCGCGCACGTGTTAACCATTCGACCACCCAAACCCCTACTGGGTGGTGAGGCAGCGTGTAACTCAATATCGCCTGTCCAACCTCGTGGGTTTTCTCCGGGTCCTCCGGTTTCCTCCCACTGCTAAAGACCCCTATGCGCAAGCGAATTATTGAAATAAAATTAAACCATATGTTAGTCCCGAAGTGACCTAGTTTGTGTCGAGTGGACGTTAAACCCCATTTCTCTCTCTCTCTCTCTGTAACTCAATAGATTGCCAGCTTATATTCTATGATGGAAACGATCTTTATTCTAAAATAATGCTATTATTGAACGTCTTTCGGTTGGGCAAATGTTCTAACGTGTGTCTGTCATAAAGTCAAGTGGCGTTGGTCTCTCTCTCTCTCCCCCCCCCCCCCCTATTGAAGCGTGACCTTTAATCTAGAAAATCTCATTTATAAACCGTCGTTTTAATTTATTGTGAATAAACCATTTTTGGGGTGTTTTTTTTTTAAAATGTCTGTCTCTATCTCGTTTTAATTGAATGAATGTAATAGAATATTACTTAACCCTTTTTTGGTTTCTAAAATCTAATCACTGTGTATTGTGTTTCATGCTAACCTTTTGTCTCTGTCTATTCGGAAAATTATCCAGATTTTAAATTTATCATTACTGTATCTATAAAGAAAGCCGGTGTTTTCTGGAGACAAATTGTTTTTTTTTTCCTTTTGTTATCTTATTAAAGAAGTTTATTGAGGAAATAACAGCGTAATAAGATCAAATTCCAAATCATTATTCTTTTGAAAGCCTAAAACGGAATTCATTAAAGTGAATATTGGATTGCAAAAAGATTTGACATTAGAGATTTGTGTAATTAAAAGACCAATATTTACAGGGAAATATTTCTGTTTTAGTGGTCAATAAAGTTACGGAACCAATAAATGTCTTCGATTTAACATTGAGTTCTTAATATAGTATCGTGGGTACTCGTACACACTAGATTTAAAGAAATCGAAACTACAGGCAGTGATGTATAGACACGGCTTTAGGTCGGTTTTCCGGGGTCCACAGTGGCTAATTGGGTAAGACGCTGACTCGCTAGCCTGGAGGTCGCTTGATCGATTCCTGCATTGGCCGAGAAAGTTCATCCAGATTTTCCCGCGTGGTTCCCCCTTGTCAGGGATGCAGGGCGGAGGGCCTGACAAGGACAGCTGTCTAGTCGTTCGGATGGGACGAAAAACCGAGGTCCCGTGTACATATTGGCATACACGTAAAAGATCCCTTGATAGTTGGAATTCGATATAAGAGTTGGCCATAGTGCCGCTGCCAGGGCAAAAAATTTCCCTCATAGCACAACGTATGATGTATGACCGTCTTCATTAGCCCAGTCGGTGCAGAACAGTGGGACGTTAAACCCCATTTTATTTCATTTTCACTTAAAACAAATTTACAACTCTTAGATCACCATGTATGCGTTTTCGCGGCTTTTTCGCTTGTTAAAATAGAAATATTCTCTTACCTTTGCATTAAACAGAATACTTAGTATTTTCGACTAAAATCGTCGATTTAGGGCTTCAAATGTCGGTCGACTACCTTAGTGTCTGTATTCAAGCGAAGCTAACTGTAGACAGACAGCCTAAGCTTAGTATGTACCTGTGGCACCATTTTTACGGGATGCCATCTATGCTACAACACAACTAATAAATATCTTTCATTATACCTGGCGTTCTGTGGAATATATATATCCACAATGCTCGTCTCTATATGTGGCACCATTGGTATGCTATAATACAAAGTACTAATAAATATATTTGTGTATATCTTTCAGCTACTAGCAACATACCTAACATTCTGTGGAATAGGTATCCACAATGCTCAAATATTCGATGCTTATTCTAAAGAATACGACAGGAATAAGGTAAGTTAGCTTTTTGTTCAAATTTATTTCAAAGTTTAACGTGCTTTGGGGAAGCACGGTGGCTCGCCTACGATGGAGGACACGTGTTTGAACTCCATGTTGACCGAGATTTTTCGGCATTTACGGTTTTTCATATTTTGGGGAGATGTTTTGTCGCCATTTTTCGATACTTTTCGGATTTTTCGGTATTTTCGGTGTATATTATTGGTCGTTTATATAGTACGACTGAAACGTGTTTAAATATTAACCCAGGGCGTTATTCTTGAAACCCTCAACTAAAATATATATTTTCAGGATGCAGTCTTTTCATTGGTTGGAGATTAAAATCCTAGTATATATTTCAGCTGTTTTAATATTGTTACATAATGGCAGGTGTTATTGATAGTTATCGTGCCACCCTGACACATGAAAGCAGAATTGATTAAAATATCTTTATGTTGGCTATCGACATCCATGGTTGTCCAGATCGCCATCTCTGGTATATGAAGCGATATAGCCAGCTGTATAATCTCTTCCGTCATCCTTTATCTAGAAAGGGTTTATAAGCAGGAGTGAAAAAGAGATAGAGGGAGAAGGTCATGGGCGCCTTGGGTTAAGGCTAGAACAAGGGCCATGTAAGTTAGTTGGGAGTTGGCACCCAAGAGTGTCAAGCCAAGCTAGGACCACGGCTCCCTCAATACAAGCTAATTACGGAGTTTTAAGTTTTGTACATGATATGGTTAAAGAAAAATAAAAGGATCATATGAAGTTAAACAAGTGTTGTCATCCAGAACTGATTCAAAGAACTCAAAAATGTAACAATATTTTAGTTTTAAGTTTCCGTGAATAGTTTTCTGTTTATTATTGCTCATTTTTTTATCTTTGTTTCAGGCTCTATTAGAAGTAGTACATGATGTATTTGAAGAACAGACATCATTAGAAAGTGTGATTTTAAAAATAATGCAGCGAGCTCAAACATTACTAAAATGTGAAAGATGTTCTGTTTTACTTCGTGATGAATCCCAAGCGGTATGTACACTAATAATTAATATCTCCGGGAAACATGGTGACCTAGGAAATGAAATTAAATGGGGTTTAACGTCCTACTGTTCTGCACCACTGACAAGGTGTACTTAAATTGTTCACAAGGCAATTTTATTGGGAAACAATGACTAGTTCGGCCAGTATCTTTTTATCGTTAGCAGGCACAGTTTCCCCGAGTCCTCCGCGTTCCTCCCACTGTTAAAGACCCCAACGCGCAAGCGAATCACTGAAATGATAACTGAGTCATATTTTAGTCCTGAGATCAGCTAATTTTTGCTGAGTTGGCCATAAACCCATCTCTCTCTCTCTCTCTCTCTCTCTCTCTCATACACAAATCTTGTGACTGAACGTTCGCCTGTCCAACCTTGTGGGTTTTCTCCAGATCGTCTGGTTTCCTCCACTGCTAAAGACCCCTACACGCAAGCAAATTATTGAAATAAAATTGAACCATGTGTTAGTCCCAAAATGACCTAGCTTATGTCGAGTGGACGTTAAACCCCATTACTCTCTCTCACACTCTTTGTGGCTGACACGCAAGGGAATATGTGTTAACTATATTGATGTGAGCTTTAAATCACTTTCAGTTGATGAGAACTGATATTCTGAGAAAAATATCTCGATGTGTCTGATGTTGGATGTTGGTTCATTAACCCGTAGGTCACGTGTTCGATCCCTGTGTTGGCCCAGAAAGTTCATCGGAAATTTTCCATTTTGATTAAAATACAGATCTATATTTCGTTTCGTTTTTTTATACTTTCGATGGTCTACACTACATGAAAATCTCACCGGTCGTGTCAGGGGTCATACAAGCGGGATTTGACCCTTTGGCTTCAGACATTTGATTAATAAATCAGCGTTGATGTTTCTAGTGGTTTACCCACAATTCCGTGTATGACACGTCAAGACGTCGCCGGAACAGACCGTTTCATTGGCTAATCATTCATTTCAACCAAAGCGCCGGTAATATAACAACTCTTCTAGATCCTAGTGTAGTGAAGACAAGTAATACGAAATTTTGAACTATAAAGAACGAAACGAAATAGGATCTGTGTTGTAATCAGATTAGATTTTCCAGCGTGGTTTCCTCTTGCCAGTAGTGCAGAACAGAGGGTCTGACAAAGGACAGCGTATAGTCGTTCAGATGGAACGAAAATGGAGGTCCTGTTTATACATTGTCTTGCACGTTAAAGAAGCTTTGGTAGTTGGAATTTCGCTCATAGCACCATGGAACTGTAGACGATCTATGATAGCGGACTGTGTAACCCAGTCGGAGAAGAACAGTAAGGAAACCGTAATTCTGAGAACGGGCTGCTTTGTTGCGTTCTATATTGAGGGAATCCTGTGCGTCAAGATTCTACTAGAATACGTAGGGGTGGGGGTGGTTGCTTACTCGCTTGGCTGTTTCGTTCTCAATTATCCTAAAAGTAAATTAGTCTCTAAATCAGATGAGGTTGTTCAACATGTATGTTTATTTCCATAATGAATATATATATATGCTGCACTCTGCTTGAGTTTATATACATCTTGGTAACCAGGTCTGGGTTAGAGCGTCTTAAGATTAACTCATAAAACAATTAGCACAATAGATTTAATTACAAGAATACAGTTTGAATGAGCTTAAGTTATATATATCTCTAGACGTTTTGGTAATTAAAACAATTAGATTAATTTAAAACTAGTCTATCAAGACTAAGGTTTGATTAACGTCTATAAGAAATGTGTAATAATAATAGAATATATGTATATACGAAATGAACATGTGTAGTAATAATAAAATATATATAAAACTTTAAATACATAATATTTCACAATTAATGTTGTATGTACATGTAGAGTTATACTTTACTCTATCACAGTTCTAAACTAGAAATAGGTCCCCTAACTGTCCTCAACGAAGAATCGTATCTTTAAATCATACGCCACAATTAATAATAAATGTAACATTTTAAAAAAAACTAGAAATAGGTCCCCTAACTGTCCTCAACGAAGAATCATATCTTTAAATCATACGCCACAATTAATAATAAATGTAACATTTAAAAAAAACTAGATATAGGTCCCCTAACTGTCCTCAACGAAGAATCGTATCTTTAAATCATCCGCCACAATTAATAATAGATCTAACATTTTAAAAAAAATGAATCATTACTCATCCGTGATCTATTAGAAAGAAATGAAATTAAATGGGGTTTAACGTCCTACTGGGCTAATGAAGACGGGCATACTCTTATATCGAATTCCAACTGCCAACTGATCTTTTACGTGTACGTCAATGTATATACGAGACCTCGGTTTTTCGTCTCATCCGAATAACTATACAGCTCTCCTTGTTAGGCCCCCGGCCTGCACCACTGACAAGGGGAAACCACGTCGGAAAATCCAGTTGAACTTTCTTGGCCAATGCAGGGATCGAACACGCGACCTCCAGGCTAGCGAACCAGTGCCTTACCCACTTAGCCACCATGGCTTCCCAATTTTCTATTTTCGAACTATTATAGCAAGAATGGCTAGCTCTTTATCTAAATCTAACATAATGTATCTTTAATAAGTCTAACATTTAAAAAAATGAATCATTACCAACCGTGCTCAATTAGAAAGAGATATCAATCAAACGATGCCAATTGAAGTTGTCGTAAAGTGTTGTAACGCCATTATTAGGTCTAGACCATGTCGTAGATATATTATCGTCACCAAATCAGGTGTTAACGCAATGTACCATTTCAGACGAATCCACGGACTAATGACCGTCATGTATTTAAATGGCGTCCATATGTTTTCATTACCTTGGACGCTACGCATGCCCCATAAGGCAATTGTTTAACCCCAAGGTTGAAGAAGAGGAAGTTTTCATTACTACGTCTGCTAACTCTGTCCGACAAAATATATTAGAATATTGATTCGTCTGCTTCCCGGATGAAACTCCTTTATTAATGTCGTTCTTGTGGTCAGTCATGGAACCGAGCCAATTTTATTCTTGGCCGTTGAGTGTAAACAACATTTGCTTTAAAATTTTGGATCATATAGAAATTTTAAAAATTAAGGTAATCGGAATTTGAAAGGCGCCCAGAATCGCAATCGCATCAATTATTTCTTGTGACACGTATCATTAATCATCTTTCGAAAATAATAATAATTTAATAATAATAATAATAATAGCGAGTTCTTATATTGTGCACCAATCCATCAAATTTAATACCCAGGGCGCATTTACCTCTCCACTTATCACAAGATAAAAACCCAGTTAATTCTAAGAAGCAGTAGAAAAAAAAAGATGAGTCTTTAACTGCTCTTAAAACAGCCAAGAAATTGTGAATTCTTTATGGTCAAGGTAATGAATTCCATAGGTTTACATGTTCCTGAAGCAACTACTGCGAGTTTTACAACATCTGGCCGTTGCTTGTTTACTTCACAATTCCCGAACTTATAGCTATGTTATCTACAGACACGTGAGCAGTGGCGTCCAATCAGAGGTTGTGACATCGTGACCTCCACGGAAACCTTGACATTGAATGAACCTTGAACTTTGCAACTCGATTATCACAGGTAGACATTTTAGCTTGAAAGCGCGAGACTTGGTATTCGTGACGACCGAGGAATCTGATAGGCTCACAAGCTCGGCTTGTACCCAATCGAAATGAGTGCCGCATTATGCAGGGTATTACGTGAAGGCCTTGATACGTAGTTAAAGCGAGATCAAGCCTTCTATTGAAGATGATAGGTTTGATACAGTGTATGATAAGCATCTACGACCGATAATAATTGTCCAATTGAAATGAAATGGAGTTTAACGTTTTATTTTTTCTGCACTAATGGGAATAACGAGGACGTCGTGCATTGTGATTCCCAACTACCTGGGGATCTTTAACGTGCTGTCCACAGGGCCTCGTTTCCTGTTCAGGCATCTACCCTGCACCACTGATCAGGTGACACTTCGAATCTGGAATCTGGTTGTCATAAAGAACATTTCTATTGAAATTTAAAAAATTCCGAACGTATATTTCAGAGTTATCTCCCTATTTTAAATTGGTTTTATCAGAAAGCGGTGGGGATTGACATATTTATTCAAAACAAATCAGCTCAATTTGCCTTGAGGTTTTTAACCCTCCACATGTCACAAGATAAAAACACAGTTAATGTTTTTTTTTAAAAAAGCAGTCGAAAAAAGATGAGACTTTACCAGTTTCTTAAAAAAGCGATTGTGAATTCTTTATGGTCAGGGCGGGGCTGGTTGTAAAACATGCGTGGCCCAATTTGGGAGACCCGAAGTTACAGGATATGAATTACTTTTAATTAACTAACTCTATATTCATTCATATTTAAGGCTAACTATTTACTTCACAATTGATTAATACATGTATACAGTTAAAGTAACAATGGAAGTTTTACTGCTGCCAGATTGCTTGGAAATTATTTAAGTGGTTGAGCTGCGGGGCCCAATTTTTGGGAAATTGGTCAAATGTGCCAAAGACCGACCCTAGGGCCAGGGTAATGAATTCCATAGGTTTGGTACAGTGTATGAGAAGCATCTATGATCGAGAATTGTCCATCTTACTGGTCTGTACTAACGGAATAATGAGAAAGCTATGCACTGTGCTAAGAAGGAAATTGTCCGATTTCCAATTGCCTGGGAATCTTTAACGCGCTATCAAAAGTTTACACGGGCTTCGAATCCTTGTTCGGCCATCCACCCTGCAACACTTCGAACCCGGAATTTGGTTAGTGGTCATAAGGAAGAATCCCATTGGCATGTAATAAAATCCGTCCGTATACTTCAGAGTTATCTCCCTTTTTTAACTTGGAGTTATCAGAAAGAGATTGGGATTAACGTTTACTGAAAACAAACCAGCTCATTTTGCGTAAGAGTATTTAGAAGTGAAAAGAAACCGACTGGTGACCCTACTCCTTGTCACGTACAAGCTTGGGATTAAAATCTTGCCTCTTGACCCAATGACATACCTCATGGCCTAATGCTAGGTTCTCACTGTCTTGCGATGCGTCACGGTAGGATTTTAGCAGGGTGGGGGGAGGGGAGAGAAACCGACTGGTTACGTACAAGCAGGGAATCGAAACCTCGCCACGTGACCTAATGACAGACCTTATGATATAAAGTGCGTTAGTGTTGGGGTCTTTAGCAGTGGGGAGAAACCGACTGGTTGCGTACAAGCAGGGAATCGAAACCACGCCACTTGACCCCAAGACAGACCTTATGATCTAAAGTGCACGCGTTAGACCACTCAGCCGTCCAAACCACCTTTGATGCCATCAATTTATCAGACGTTTTAATGAGAATGTTGATTGATGTTCTGTTTCTTTATTTCAGTCAGCATTTAATAAAGTGTTTGATCTCGCCTATCCGGCAAAAAATGGCCACACCAATATGAAGTAAGTTTTTTTTATACTCCGACAAAATATCTTTCTTCTAGTTCATCTGACTGTCTTCCACTTATTTGACTCGGAAATTATTCCATTCTATGCTTTTACTTTTTAAGCTTTGAAATGTAGATTTTGACAGCCAGATTATTAAGAAATTCTTTGTTTAATTTCGCTATTTCTGGCTGTGATATAAAGTCTTGAACTTTAGCCGCCGAATTTTTTTTATCGAAGTATTTCTTTTTATCAAAGATGCATTATGCAAGCCAAATCGGTCCATTGCAGATATTGAGTGGGTTAGGTAATGTCTGTTATATTTTCGTTAACCGATAATATGGACACCACTCGCACAGACTGTCGATTGAAGGGAGAGAGAGAGAGAGAGAGAGAGAGAGAGAGAGATGGGGCTTAACGTCCACTCGACAGAAACCAGGTCATTTCGGGACGAACATATGATTCAGTTTTATTTCAATAATTCGCTTGCGCGTAGGGGTCTTTAGCAGTGGGAGGAAAACGGAGGACCCGGAGAAAACCCACGAGGTTGGACAGGCGACCCTACACCAGTTGACTCATGATAGACATTATGATACAACGCGCATGCGATAACCATTTGGTCACCTCCACCTTCGATTGAAGGACTGGACATCGTAGATTTTTGCCTGTCAAAACTTCAAACATCGATAACTTCGCTCAGAATAAAGTATTTTGACTGAAATTTTCATTATCTATTATTAACTAATATAGCAAAAACGGCTAGTTATTTATCTAAATTTGACATAATGCATCCATAATATAATTATTATAGCAAAGCCTAAATCCGACATAATGCATCTTTGATATAACTATTATAGCAAAACCTAAATCCGACATAATGCTTCTTTGATATAACTATTATAGCAAAGCCTAAATATTACATAATGCATCTTTGATATAACTATTATAGCAAAGCCTAAATCCGACATAATGCATCTTTGATATAACTATTATAGCAAGGTCTAAATCTTACATAATGTATCTATACTGATGTCCAAAAGAAAGTACACACTGTGCATTTCGTGCTGCATCAACCAAAGTCGTTTTCCATCGTATGCGGCATTTGGGTACAATGTCAATCTGTTTCGCTTATTTATTTTACTTAGAAATATAGAGTTTGAACGCAAGGTGCAAACCCAGTAAAGTTTTTTCAAATGTTTTTAATCAAAATAAAACTTAGTCATATTTTTAGTGTGTATACTTTCTTTTGGACATTAGTATATAATATAACTATTATAGCAAGGTCTAAATCTTTCATAATGCATCTTTTATGCTTTCTGTAGAAGAGGCGAGATACTTTTAATAAAGTATTATATTATAATCGTTCGGCTAATTTATACTTTCTTTTGTTATTGTAAGATCTGTCGGCTATTATATAATGTTCACTATTATTTTTAAAATCATTGTTGTCAATCTATCCCATCATGCACCATTTCTCTTTTTTCTGGCACCAAAAGACGTCGGGTTGTTTATAAATCTGAAAATGGTGATATATGCTCTTCCAATCGTAGTCAGGCTTTAAGGTAAATATATATTCTTTCCTACTTTCATTTTAAACTGTTTCAATGGCATTTAGTATACAGGTCACAAATTCTATGGAATACAATTACTGCTTATTACTGAGCGACGTTTCGACTAGGCTTCTCTAGTCACTAGTCCAAACTCGTGGGTTTTCTCCGGGTCCCCCGGTTTCCTCCCACTGCTAAAGACCCCTACGCGCAAGCGAATTATTGAAATAAAATTGAACCATGTGTTAGTCCCGAAATGACATAGTTTGTGTCGAGTGGACGTTAAACCCCATTTTTCTCTCTCTTTCTCTAGTCACTAGAGAAGCCTAGTCGAAACGTCGCTCAGTAATAAGCAGTAATTCTTTCATTTTATATATATATATATATATAAATATAAAAATACATTTTGTTTATAAAACATACCACAGTTATATGGAATACAAAATACCCATTAGAAGTTCTTTCTTGTGACATTTCTGAGAGGATTCTCTCGTCTGTATCAAGCCCCATTTCCTTATAATTTATTTTTTACACGTATAGGGGATCACGTGGCTAAGTGGGTAAGACGCTGGCTCGCAAGCCTGGAGGTCGGGTGTTGGATCCCGGCATTGGCCGAGAAAGTTCATCCAGATTTTCCGGCGTGGTTCCCCCTTGTCAGTGATGCAGGACGGAGGGGCTGACAAGGACAGCTGCCTCGTCCTTCGGATGAGACGAAAAACGGAGGTCCCGTGTATACATTGGAATGCACGTACTAGATCATTTGGCAGTTGGAATTCGATATAAGAGTAGGCGATAGTGCCGCTGCCCGGGCAAAATTTCCCTCATAGCACACTGTATGGCGTATGCCCGTCTTCATTAGCCCAGTATAGGAGCAGAACACTAGGACGTTAAACCCCATTTCATCATTTTACACGTATAATAATCAGAGCCTTGATTGAATTGCTCAAAATGTGATAAAAATAAATACAGCCTTTGCATTCTGTTTTCTCAATCTGATTCAAACACAGATCCTATTTCGTTTTGTCTTTTTTTTATAGTTCAAAATTTCGTTTTACTTATCTTTACTGCAATAGAATCTGGAAGAGTTGTTACATACCCCGCGTTCTGGATGATGTGGAAGATTTACCAATGATACGGTCTGTTATGACGAGTTTTTGGCGTGAGTTGCACGGAACTGTGGTTAACCCGCTTGAAACACCAACGCTTATTGGGTAATCAAATGTCTGACGTCATAGGTCAAAAGCCGCTCGTATGACCTCTGACGCGACCTTCCACTACAACTGGTCAGATCTTTATGTAGTAGAGGCCACCGAAAGTATAAAAAAAACGAAACGAAACATAGATCTGTATTTTAATCAGATTGGGTGTTTTCTGTGTTATTTTATAGTGTGGGAACTTTAAACATTTAATTCTGAATTTAAAAAAAAAAGATAATAATTCCACAAACAACTGCTTTTTTTATGTTTTCAGCGAGAAACTGGCAACCATTTTGATATTTAGCATGTGTAGTTATTGCGACTATTTTTATTATTTTTATTTTTTTGCATTCATATTATGCACACTAAGTTTTCTTGCTTCAAAATATTTCTCGGACTGTCTAATTCGAATATTTTCTTAGTTTTATTCTTTCTCTCTATGAAATATATTTTACGATATTCTGATTAAATTGTACGATATTCTGATTTGTATTTTACGATATTCTGATTTATATTGTACGATATTCTGATTTATATTGTACGATATTCTGATTTATATTGTACGATATTATGATTTATATTGTACGATATTATGATTTATGATTTATATTGTACGATATTCTGATTTATGAATTATATTGTACGATATTCTGATTTATATTGTACGATATTCTGATTTGTATTTTACGATATTTTGATTTATATTGTACGATATTCTGATTTATATTGTACGATATTCTGATTTATGATTTATATTGTACGATATTCTGATTTATATTGTACGATATTCTGATTTATGATTTATAGTGTACGATATTCTGATTTATATTATACAATATTCTGATTTGTATTTTACCATATTCTGATTTATATTGTACGATATTCTGATTTATATTGTACGATATTCTAATTTATATTGTACGCTTTTCTGATTTATATTGTATGATATTTTACGATATTCTGATTTATATTGTACAATATTCTGATTTGTATTTTACGATATTCTGATTTATATTGTACGATATTCTGATTTATATTGTATGATATTCTGATTTATATTGTATGATATTATGATTCATATTTTACGATATTCTGATTTATATTGTACGATATTCTGATTTATATTGTATGATATTCTGATTTATATTGTATGATATTATGATTCATATTTTACGATATTCTGATTTATATTGTATGATATTCTGATTATATTTTACGATATTTTACGATAGACCAGACTTTTCAGATTTAAAGGAAAAAAAATAATTACTACAAATACCTGTTATAACGCTATCTTCCCGGTTGTCCCTATTTCAAACTAAATGGGGGGGATCACGTGGCTAAGTGGGTAAGACGCTGGCTCGCTAGCCTGGAGGTCGGGTGTTCGATCCCTGCATTGGCCGAGAAAGTTCATCCAGATTTTCCGGCCGGCGTGGTTCCACCTTGTCAGTGATGCAGGACGGAGGGCCTGACAAGGACAGCTGTCTAGTCGTTCGGATGAGAAGAAAAACCGAGGTCCCATGTATATATTGGAATGCACGTAAAAGATCCCCTGGCAGTTGGAATTCGATATAAAAGTAGGCGGTAGTGCCTCTGCCCGGGCAAAATTTCCCTCATAGCACACTGTATGGCGTATGCCCGTCTTCATTAGCCCAGTTTAAGCGCAGAAAAGTAGGAATTTAAACCCCATTTCATCTCATTTCATTTTCAAAGTAGATGTGATTTTAGGTGTTCTAAATCGAGACAGTGTCCGAAACACTTTAATATTTTGGATAATAAAAATCATTTTAAAACTGTAGCCAATGGGTGGCTCGGTGAGAAAGGCGCTGGCTCACTAGCCAGGGGGTGCCGGGTTCGACCCCGATAGTGGTCGATCAAGTTCCTTTGGATTTAGCAGTGTAGGAAATAGGGCATTGCAATAACGGCATCTAGTCCTTCGGATAGAACGAAAAACAGAGGTCCTGTTTACGTAGGCGTACGGGGAGTCACGTTGGTTCAGTGGGTGGGAAGTTGGCTCACTAACCTGGGGGTCCCGTGTTCGATCCCTGCGTTAATTGGCCGAGAAAGTTCATCGGGCTTTTCCGGCGTGGTTCCTCCTTGTCTGTGATGTAGGAATTGGCAAGGGACAACGTATAGTCGTTTGCATAGGACAAAAATCCGAGGTCCCATGTATACATTGGTGTGCACGTAAAAGATCCCTTGGCTGTTGGAATTCGAAATTAGAGTAGGCCGTAATGCCGCTGTCCGGGCACAATTTCCCTCATAGCACATTGCAAGGCGTCTGTCCTTCTTCATCAGTCCAGTCGGAACAGAACAGTAGGACGTTAAACCTCATTTCATTTACGTTGGCGTACACGTAAAAGAACCCTCTGATAGTTGACGACGACGTTTAGGCGGAAATGCCGTTGCTCTGAGAAAAGAGAGAGATAAATGGGGTTTAACGTCCACTCGACACAAACTAGGTCATCTTGGGTTTTCTACGGGTCCTACGGTTTACCCCCACTACTAAAGACCCCTACGCGCAAGCGAATTATTAAAATAAAATTGAACCATATGTTAGTCTCGAAATGACCTACGCGCAAGCCGATTATTGAAATAAAATTGAACCATATGTTAGCCTCGAAATGACCTATTGTGTTGAGCCTCTCTCTTGTGTCGAGTGGACGTTAAACCCCATCTCTCTCTCTCTCTCTCTCTCTCTCGGTTGTTATTGGATTAAGTAACATTCACGACACGTTACCGCTGTCTATATAAGTCTTTGTTTTTATATAGACACGGATATGAAACCGTGGTCGATATGTGTAATATCGGTAATTTTTATCTTTATGTCTATGTCTGAGATGGAATTACAAAGACCGTCTTAAAAACAGTCAACCGTGATCAGAAATACTGTCAGATATTGAAATGGGGATTAGCTCAGCAGACGAAATGTCATTTATTGATAATTAGAATTCGGTCTAAGTCTATATTTAGCCGAGTAAACGCTGTCATAAAAATATAACAGGATCGAATCTAGGACCCCATGATTAGTGCGCCTGCGCCATCCTCACAGGAGACACCCATGTTTTGCTATTAAAAAATGAAATGAAATGAAATGGGGTTTAACGTCCTACTGTTCTGCTCCTATACTGGGCTAATGAAGACGGGCATACGCCATACAGTGTGCTATGAGGGAAATTTTTCCCGGGCAGCGGCACTATCGCCTACTCTTATATCGAATTCCAACTGCCAAGGGATCTTTTACGTGTATTCCAATGTATACACGGGACCTCGGTTTTTCGTCTCATCCGAAGGACTAGACAGCTGTCCCTGTCAGGCCCTCCATTCTGCACCACTGACAAGGGGAAACAAAGTCGGAAAATCCAGATGAACTTTGCTTTTAAAAGAATGAGACAAATCTGTTGTGTATCAATGTTATATTATCATAATGTTCTTGTAAACCAACGCCTCTGGCTTAACCCAGGCCCGAAAGTGAAAAGAACAAATTTCCCTCTTTTTGCTACCATACAAAATGAGTCAAATCTGTTTTATTAATGCTATGTTATCCTAATGTTCTTATAAATCACTGGCCCTGGCTTATCCCAAAAGAAAAACTTTCGGTTTTTTAAGAATTAATGTCTAGAAAGATATGTCGGGTTTAATATGTAATAAACCGTTGATGGAAACGTCTGGATGTCTAAAACAATAATACTCGAACAAACTGTTACTGAAAACACAATTAAAGATGGTTTATGTCACAATGTCACTTGTCTCTTAGTCACAATTTAAGATGGCGGATGTTCACAATGTCACGATAGACGGCAGACATGAAATCGGGTTTATGGCCTGCGGTTAATAACCATCTTCAGTATAAATGAACTGAAACGAACTGAGTTTGACACCCCTGCTTTACATCATTCAGTCAAAGTTCACGTATGTGACCCTTGTTCTGACCTCCAACACAAATTGGTCAGATCTGAGGTAATCGATAGCCTTACCCTGGGTGGAAACTGATGTAACTGTAAACAGAGCGTTATAATCATCGTACACCAGTAGCAGTGAATATAATCCTCGTACACCAGTAACAGTGAACGGGGCATTATAATCATCGTACACCAGTAATAGTGAACGGGGTGTTATAATCCTCGTACACCAGAAGCAGTAAATGGGGCGTTATAATCCTCGTACACCAGTAACAGTGAACGGGGAGTTATAATCCCCGTACACCAGTAATAGTGAATGGGGTGTTATAATCCCCGTACACCAGTAATAATGAATGGGGTGTTATAATCCTCGTACACCAGTAGCAGTGAACGGGGCATTATAATCATCGTACACCAGTAGCAGTGAACGGGGCATTATAATCACCGTACACCAGTAACAGTGAATGGTGAGTTATAATCCTCGTACACCAGTAGCAGTGAACGGGGCGTTTTCGTCTGGTGGATTCACGTGTGTAACAGCTTTATTCATTGTTTTACTATATATTATCTGTTCTGTATTAATGTATCATTTGTTCTGTGATTGGTTGGGCGAGTTTCTTGCATTGCTTTTTGACCAATCAATGTGTCTGTTGTTTCTTTCAGTCCAGATAATTGTATGGATCTCCAGATGGGTAATAAAATTGCCGAGTTGGTCCTGATTACAGAAGAAACTATTAATATCGCTGATGCTCAAGCCGACCCGCGCTTTGATCCAGAGGTAACTATCTATTTAAATGTTTTAATGATCATTTCCCATGTCCTGCATCTGGCAAGGCACAAAGTATAGTCATTAGGATGGGACGAAAAACCGAGGTCCCGTGTACACATTGGCGTATAGGAATTCGATAAAGGTGTAGGCCCTGACGCCACTGTCCGGGCAAAATTTCTCTCATAGCACACTTCATGAGCCAAGTCGGAGCAGAACACTAGGACGTTAAACCCCATTTTATTTCCAACGTAAGACGTTTTGGTCACAGGATTTTCAAACCTAACAAGTTCGCTCCTATTAGCACGAGTTAGTACCTATGTATCCTTAATGGCCAAAAAGTCCGTAGAGAGCAGGGGTTTGGTGTTGTTTGTAGTCAAAGCCTTGATTGTATGTCCCCCAAGACTCGAGTACAGGGCCAAATAAATACTCAGAACCAACGTTCCGTCTTTCCCACCCCTCTGCACGACACTGTCGCTATGGCCACAACATCCGTATAGCGTGTAGGGGTTTGGTGAAGCCAGGAACTGACGCCTTGATTGTTTGTCCCCCAAGACTTAAGAATAGGAACAAATACCCAGAAATGTGGGACAGGGAGACATTTTAATGTCTAAACAAATTACAGCGATAATTTAAAACCCAAATTGATATAGATGCCCACCTTAAATGGCTTCCCTCCTCTCTATGGCCACAACGGTGATCTGCCGGACAATTCAGATTCATAATATGGTGCTCAATTGGACGTTCAAGAATAATATTCTCTAAACTGTTGCACTCGGGCGACAAAGCATACGACCTGTGGTTGAATTTATGACTGCGCCATTCAGTAGCATTTTAATCAATTCGGAACACCCCATTAGAACTGTTGCCAATCGCCACAGTGAGTAGAATTCGTTATTGTATGAAATCAACGAACATCGGGCGACAAATACGACGACAACTGAATAATGTTCGCCATGTTTCATTTTTACACATATCATTTCTGAATTTTTATCGGGAATGACAAAACTATCACTGTTACTGCGTCATTCAGCTGGACTTTAGTCACATCCCATTAGAGCTATAAGCCAATCGCCACAACGAGCGGGATTCGTTATTCGTTGAACAAACTTGAAGCGTAAAAATCTCTGACGTCGTAGAATAGTCAATATCATACTTTGATGACCAGGTTTATAGCTTTGTGGAAAAATGTCGTAAAAGAACCGTTATAGTGAACCATTAATACATCAGAGATATCAGAGTATGTGCTTGTCAATTTGTATTTCCTGTCAGTGTTCCGGTGAAATATCTTAAACTGGCAGTGTTGAGTATAAAGGCATGCCTAGACGCGGACGATAAGCCACATGAACGGACGGGATACATTAGGATACAGCCCACCAAATATTTCTAAGCCGGGCGAAAGTTATTTTTAGTCTTTCTCTCCCTTTCCTTTTTCCCCCTTTTGCATGGCGATTTTTGTTGACTTTTTGGTGTAAAATCGAAGGAAAGGGTTTGAAAATACATTTTCTGCCAGGTTTTGGTGAATATTCAAGATTTTGAGGCGGAAGGATACAAGAGTTGAGAGGTTGGTTAGGTTGAAATGTAGGGTCGAAAATTGCATGTTTACTTGTCACTACTTCCAGCTTGTGTATCTCAAGTTTTTCATGGTGAACCGCATACATGCTTTTGGGCAAGAGTTTGCCACATGTTGCTCCATCTGTGGCAGAAAGCGTTCTACCCAACGAAAATTTGGGAAAAATTTAGAGCCGGTCTAAAAGACGAGAATCACCATTAAAGTCAATGGGTAAATCATTAGTGATCTGTGGCCATTATAATCGCAGAAGCGGACGAGGCACAGTAATATCTGTGATATCGTCTTCGTTGGAAGCGGGCAATATGCTTCACGAATGAACGGGATACATTATTATCTGAGAAATCGTCCTCCGTGCAAGCGGACTTTAAGCTCCACGGACGAACGGACAAACGAACGAGCTGTATACAGCACACACAATATTCAAATCTAACCCAATATTAAGGCCTGTCATTAAATTTTGTAAACTACATTTATAAAGGTCAAATTAGTATACTGGTTCATGATTAAAAACGAAAATAAACAATGCATGTACTGTCTGGACATCCTGGGATGGACGTCAGGTCTAAATATTAAGGCCACCTGCAGATTTCATCAAGGTCGCGAAATGTAAATAGGCATAGGGCACGTGATTGTTGACCAGCTTGTGGATTGAGGTAAGGGTTAAGGCTAGGTCTAGGGGTAGGGTTAGGGTAAGCGCTAGCCCTGTTTACATCTCGTGACGGTGACGAAATCAGTAGATGACCTTAGTAATGCTATTTCGTTTAACCAAACGCTGAGACTGATATAGTCGACACTTATCGCTCGCGGAACTGTTCTTTGGTCGGAAAAATTTGAAAAGCCTAAATTTCGTGGTAAGGAGTAGGATCGCCTGTCCAACCTCGTGGGTTTTCTCCCGAAATGACCTTGTCGATGGACGTTAACCCTCCCCCTCTCTCTCTCTCTTTCCCTCTCTCTCTCTCCCTCTCTCTCTATCTCTCTCTCTCTCTCTCTCGATGCTGGAAATAACTTTCATATCAGACAATATCCCTTTAACTGAATGAAGTTATATTGTATAGTTTGTCTTAATTTTATCGATGATACGCGTCTTGTTTTATGACATCCGGAATGTCAAATCTATTAAAGAAAGCAATTTCATCAAAGTGAGTTCATGTTCGATTTTTCATAAAATAGCCATTTGCAGATATTCATAAAGAGAAAATTCGATTTAATGAAGGCCATAGTATGAACCGCAACCTGATTTCATAGCACAATAAAAATCCAGATAGGTCACGGTGGTGCTTAAACATTTCTAGTTTCTTAGAAATGAGGGGGAGAGAGAGAGAGGTCTGTCATTGAGTCAACTGGCGTGGTTTCGATTCCCCCGTTGCACGTGACAAGGAGTAGGATCGCCTGTCCAACCTCGTGGGTTTTCTCCGGGTCCTCCGTTTTCCTCCTACTGCTAAAGACCCCTACACGTCATTGAATTATTGAAATAAAATTGAACCATGTGTTAGTCCCGAAATTACCTAGTTTGTGTCGAGTGGACGTTAAACCTCCTCTCTCTCTCTCTCTCTCTCTCTCTCTCTCTTTCTCTCTCTCTCTCTCTCGTGTTCTTGATTATTTTAAAAGAAATTATCTATTTTCAGACGGATAAAGCCTTGGGATTCCACACTAAAAGTATTTTATGTAAACCAATAAGAAACAGCGACTTAAAGACAATAGGTAAGTATCATCCTTGACCTGTGAACTTAGATTGATTTCGGTTTGCCAAATTACTGCAGATTCGGAAAACCGAGAAAGTAAGTGTTCCCTGCCTATTTAAACCTTTGGAACGGTTGACTTGAGAGGTATTAAATGAACTTGTCTGCGATATCATCTTTTCTGGAAGCAGACGTTAAACGACTAAGGTCGTAGCAGTAGTACTGATCGAACCATCAACCGAGCATGGCGTCATTGAAACCATCCATTATGGAATTGTCACGTGATATCGAGGTCCTTCGAATAATGCGCAATTGCTCAAAGAACAGGCATGTCAAGTTCCATATCTCATCTATCATCATTTCAATTAATGGCTTGAACGTTGGAGTCTTTTATCATTAGGTGGAAACCGCCCGAACGACCCGGAGAAAACACACGGGCCGGAGATCGAAACCTTGACAATTGACTCACTGACAGACCACGTTAGACCACTCGTAGATGTCTTTAGCAGTGGGAGGTTTCCGAGGGAACTATTCTCCTTGTCAAGTAAAAGAATTGGATCGAAAACACAACACTTGACTCGATGACAGACTTTATGGTCTAAAGGGGGGATACCACTGGGTCACCTTATTCTAGACCTAGCCCTAGTCCTAACCCTAATCCACAATCACGTGCCCTAACCCTATTTACATCTCGCGACCTACACGAAATCTGCAGTTGGCCTTAATATTTAGACCTAAACCAAACCTTCCTCGTAATTACAATCTACACAAGTAGAATGGCATGCAGTAATAGCTATTAGTAACCCAGAAAACCGCGTCCAGTACAGGGACGTAACTAGCTCAGAGCAACGAGGTGGGTGGGAAGTGTTCTCAAGGGGTGCTGTATATCTATTGCTGATTGTTTTGTTGATTTATTTCAGGTGTTGCTCAGATTGTAAATAGAATTGATGGTCAACCGTTTGATGAACACGACGAAGATTTGTTTGAGGTAGTTTCGCTTAAAGGATATTATGCTTTTGTAACCTAATTTTATAGTTCATATGTTTTAGCATATTTCCGTCATAGCACACCATATTGTACACGTCTCAACTAATTAACACTGTTTGTTCAGAACAGTAGGGTTAAATCCCCACCACATGCCCCTTATAGCACACCATATGGTGCATGTCTCAACTAATTAACACTGTTTGTTCAGAACAGTAGGGTTAAATCCCCACCACATGCCCCTTATAGCACACCATATGGTGCATGTCTCGCTTAATTAACACGGTTAGTTCACAACAGTAGCAGTTAAACCCCCAACATATTTCCTTCGTAGCACACCATATGGTGCATGTCTCACTTAATCAACACGGTTAGTGTAGAACAGTATTTGATAATATTTCCTGTATCTTAAATCATGTTTAAGTGCACATGTCAAGTGCATATAACTGTCATTGCTGTCATACATGTAGAGTCAAATGCAGACAGATCACGAGACTCCGCGCATGCAATGCTAGAGGTTTAACGCCCTGAAAGGAGATAATGATGATAACGAAATAAAACGGCAACCTGTTTTTACCACCGTTCGGTAAATGTATGATCTCCATCATGGGGACATAAAGGCCAACAGGGGAATTTTGTTTTAGGGTCAGTTTACAAGACCCTAACCCGAGCCCTAGCGAAACATAGTTCCACCACGCACACGGGGGCTTTAAATCCATTGTGAGTCCGGATAACTCCACAAAAAGAAAACCGGGCCTAAAACATACGCACCATACCATAAGATACGCATATACTGGAAAGTGGGCCTTTATGTCCCCATGATGGAGGTCATAAATTTACCGAACGGTAAAAACGGGTTGCCGTTTACCTCCTTATAAGACCGATTTATTCGTTATTATTCTTCTACTTGTGAATAAGACCAATATTAACTCGTGTAAACGTTTTATTTTTCAGGCGTTTTCTATATTTTGTGGACTCGGGATCCATAATTCCTGGTTGTATGAGGAGGTTTCCATGGCTGCAGCTAAACAAGCGGTCGCTCTAGAGGTAAACACGAATTATAATTCATTCAAGGCGGGCAGAAAGCCATGGTCCGTTAAAATACCACAGCCCGTGCAAATACCCCTCATATTGTTATACAGACTATAGAAAATACAAATGGTCGTAGTAAGCATATTGTCGTGATGTTAAATTGCAGATTTACCCCTTTTCGTATTTTATAAACTAAATCCTACGATTGTCGAGTGGTCTAGCGCGTGCGCTTTAGATTATAAGGTCTGGCATTGAGTGAAGTTGTGTGGTTTCGAATCTCCGCTTGTACGGGTCCTCGGGTTTCCTCCCACAGTTAAAGACCCGTATACACAAGCGAATTATTGAAATAAAATTGAACCATATATTAGTCCTAAAAAGACCTAGTCTGTGTCGACGTTAAACCCATTCCCCCACCCCCTTCACCCTATGAACTCTACTGATTGAATATTTTACGGTATATTGAACATTTAAACGGTTTTTATTTTCAGACTCTGTCATACCATGCCTCCGTCTCGTCAGATGAAATTAATGCTATAAAGGTAATATTTCGTTTCGTTTTTTTATACTTTCGATGGCCGACACTACATGAAGATCTGACAAGTTATAGCGATAGGTCACGTCAGGGGTCAAACGACCTACTTATGACCCTTTTGACGTCAGACATTTGATTAAGCAATCAGCATTGATGTTACTAGTGGATTACCCACAGTTCCGTGAAAAACACGCCTAAAGCTCACCGTAACAGACCGTTTCATTGGCTTATCCCTGACACCATTCAGAACACGAGTTAAATAACAACTCTTCCAGATCCAAGTGTAGTAAAGACAAGTAAAACGAAATTTTGAACTATAAAAACGAAACGAAATAGGATCTGTGTTTTAACCAGATTGGTAAGAACGTAGTCTGACACGTGTGCCTTTTGTATGTCTTTTTTCCATCTTTATATCAGACCATATCTCTTTTCGGTTCATTTAGAGATGCGACTGATTATGCTTGACCAGTTTAAACCAAAAACGAAACTAGAATTCGTATACAAATCAACTTCCGCTTTATATTTTGATCTAGGACAATCACTAATCAATAGATAGGGTGACCCATGTACACACAGAAATACAGTCCACCGCTGATAGTTCGAGACTACCACTGAAGCCTGCACATTCGCCGTGCCGAGACCAACTTTCTGACAGTATGATACTATAAATAGCCATGGCACATGCAATTCTCTACAAATCTATCAACTATTACAGCCGTAAAAAAATTATTGTTGACGATTTTGAATAGCAGTAAAATTAAGCTTCTTGGTTATTACAGCAGATTTAGAAATTACGTTCGTTTCATTTTTTAAATCGCTTTATCATTAACTGTACCGTTAAGACCGGCATCTTTTGGTTTAGTACAAATAGTATCTCTGAATCACTCGGGTTAGGCAGGAACATGATACTAGCAGTAGTTTCATTTTACTTTTACAAGCGTCTTAAAACGATTGTTGAGCTACCTAACGTGCTTATTTCTAAATTCAATTTCTTGTTCTAGCTTTCTGTTATGTTTCGTAAAAAAGTAGTCTTGATTATCCCGACCTGTCAATCAGACGTAGAATGGTCGATAGACTGGTTAAGCGAGACTAATTTCAAAACAAGGGCACGTAACCTATCTTTTACTCAAAAGTGTCTGGATGTTATAGACGACTCTTGGAACCAGTTTTCAGTCTATTATTTATACATGATTAATGGTCATAGCTTATTAAGTACAACATGATCGTTTATTTAGTGACTATAATTGTGTGAAACTGATTTGAGGCTTGGCATATATATAAATATTGTGGCGTAATTCTCGAGATATATGGAGATATTTATTTATGGTGGGTCACCCTACAATAGAATCACCGTTCAGATCAGACGCAACTTATTATGCGTGGTTAAAACGCTGGCTCGCTAGCCTGGAGGTCGGGTGTTCGATCCCTGCATTTATTTCATTTATTATGCGTTCCACAGACGACAGTTTAAACCCAAAACGGAACTAAAAACAGTTTATAAATCAACTTCACCGTAATATTATTACTTCAAGCAGATCGATCTCGGTCGATCACTATCAGATCAGCTTAAAGTTACAATTTCATATTTTTAAGTTATATTTTTAAAATGTATTATAATAAAGCCCTAAAATAGATAGTACATGTATCTATAAACAGTCCTACCTTGTTAAAGAATAATCCTATTATTCACTATTGCCAGCTGAGAAATTGGCAAAAATATCATTTTCAACTTCAAATTCAAACGTTTGAAGATAGCTATTCCATGGTGGGGAATAGGAAAACAATGGAGGTAATTGGGAGGTAATTGTGTTATTTCCGGTGTGAAGATTTTTAAGTGTGAGAAAGATAACCTATGATCGTATAATAGTGAGTTGACAACCTATTGAGCAAAAGACATAGAAATAATTATGTTTTAACTTTCTTAGAAAATATGAAATTGTAACTTTAATTCAGTATTTTATTTTGAGGTTTAACTGCTTTATCACGTATTTTGGCCCCATTTGGTGCAGAAAATAGGATTTAATTCCCATGTCATTTGCTATAAATCAGTGGTGAGGTCTAAATATTAAGGCATCTGCAGATGTCGTCAAGGCCACAAGACCTAGTCCTAACCTTTACTATAACTATAACCCACAATCTCGTCAACCACGTGCCCTAAGACTATCTATATCTCGGGACCATGACGAAATCTGCAGACGGCCTTGATATTTAGACCTGATCATAAATCAGTATTCTAACATAACAATAACTGTCAATGCGGTGTGAGATCTTTATGTATGGGAAGTGTCGACCAATAAAATATTTTAACTAGGCTGATTAAAATTGTTTTGCACCATCTACGGCCATTTTGATTACATTATCCATTAATGGCGTCTTGCTAGGTGGTGTTCGTAGTGTTACGTCTTTTTTTTTAAAAAAAAAAACATTGAGGAAGTTATAAAGTATCAAGCCATTCAGATATAAAACTAAAGAAATCAATGTTTGTTTCATTTTACAGTGCAAACAAGTGCCTGAAGCTTCCGTGTGGAAACTCCATAGATTCGATTTCAACGATTTCAGTCTCCATGGTGATGAGATGATTTTAGCTGGAATAAGAATGTTTAAAGATTTGGGCCTTATTAGGAAATTTAGAATCGACTACGAGGTAACTGTTCATCAATGCCGTATATAGTTATACGTTTGTTTACTTGCACCATCCCCTCTTCCCGTGGGGGTGGGGGGGTTGTTTGGCCGAATGGTTAGCACGTGCGCGCTGTATCATAAAGTCTGTCATTGAGTCAACTGGCGTGGTTGTACGTGACAAGGGGTAGGGTCGCCTTCCAAACTCGTGGGTTTCTCCGGGTTCTCCGGTTTCCTCCAAGTGCTAAAAAAAACCTACGCGCAAGCAGATTATTGAAATAAAACTGAACCATGTCTCTCTCTCTCTCTCTCTCTCTCTCTCTCTCTCTCTCTCTCTCTTCCTGTTAATACAATTATTTGGTCTTTCTCAATTGCAATCGAAAAATGAAAAAGAAAATATTACTGGTCGGTTTCGATAAGAAAAATGTGTCTGGTCGACGAAAATAATTCCATCGTAGTTGCAGTGTGAAGAAAGTGTGCGTGGAAATGCAGCGGCTGTGGCAATCACTCGACCCCACCGAAAATAGAAATTACAAAATGGCGGAAAATTTCTTTTATGACTGATTTATATGGTAAAAGAGATTTTCTTGTTTCTTAGAAATGAGAGAGAGAGAGAGAGAGAGAGAGAGAGAGAGAGAGAGAGAGAGAGAGATGGGTTTAACGTCCACTCGACACAAACTAGGTCATTTCGGGACTAACATATGGTTCAATTTTATTACCATAATTCGCTTGCGCGTAGGGGGTCTTTAGCAGTGGGAAGAAACCGGAGGGCCGGAGAAAACCCACGAGGTTGGACAGGCGACCCATTAATCAATAGGGAAACCATTAAATATATTAGGCCCTTATTAGGTGTGATGTTCTTATCGCAACACCGTAACAGAAACGTCAGATTGTTACTTGCTTTTATATTTTCCTTCTAACTTACCAATTAAATTCACTGATTTTACTACCTCATTTGTGTTCCATATTATGTTTTTGTGTTTATTACGTATGTCAATTGCTAAATGCCGGTCAAAGCAAATAAACGTTGGACATTTGTTTTGGGTTTTTTTTTAGGCTTTGCAATTGATTAAGCTCTCCTACTGATAGCTGGTTAGATATATTGGGCATACTCGATTGGACGTTCTGAAATTGAATTATCTAAATCCCCAAAATAGCGACAACGCATGCGCCTAACGCATTAGAAACTATCCCAACCAACCATGATAGCTGAAACATATTTGGTTGTGCTTAGTTACGTCATGATTCTACTCACTCCGCCTCCGTTGTCGGGACTGGCAGAACTCCGCGTCACTCGGTTGCAATTCTGTCTATTTGGAACGTTCCGGGCTGACATCGAGCACCCCCATTGTTTTCTGTAACACAAATAGCTTGCTTCCTTTGATTCTGTAATTTGGCTATAGTCCAATCCCTAAATGGTGAATATTTTAATGGAGTTTTTCTGTTATTATGGACGCCCCGGTACGATATATCACTTCCGGGTCGGTTGTTTAGATATAGCCCAGTCTCTAGATGGTAGTTATAGAAACAGTAGGAAAATGGCCGCATGTTTTAATGGATTTTTACTTTTATAGTTATTGACGTCCCCCATCACAGACACCTACACATCTCTGTGTTCATTGATAAATTAAGTTGTTTCCTTAATTGCAGGTTTTAATTCGGTGGTTATTAACAGTGAAAAAGAATTATAGAAATGTTGCCTACCATAACTGGCGCCATGCTTTTAATGTTTGCCAAATTATGTTCGCCTCCATGAATGTAAGTAATATATCTCAGTTTAGAATGACATTTAGTCGCTGAAATCCGACTAAAATTGGTTTTATAGTGCAAACTTATTTCAGCTGAAAAGGAACAACGTTTCAGCATTTATTTAAAGGCCGGGGGGAAGGCTGAATTGTTAGCGTGTGCGCGCTGTATCATAAAGTCTGTCATTGAGTCAACTGGCGTGGTTTCGATTCCCCGGTTGTACGTGACAAGGAGGAGGGTCGCCTGTCAAACCTCGTGGGTTTTCTCCGGGTCCTCCAGTTTCCACCCACTGCTAAAGACCCCTACATGCAAGCGGAATTATGGTAATAAAACTGAACCATGTCTTAGTCCCGATATGACCTAGTTTGTGTCGAGTGGACGTTTAACCCCCCTCTCTCTCTCTCTCTCTCTCTTTCTCTCTATCTTTCTCTCTTTATTTAAAGGTCGCTCTCAACTAAATCATGAAAAATGTGAAAAAAATGTTAAGGTCCAACTTTTCAGCGGAATCATTTCGAAAATTATCGTTGATTTGAGACTCTTTCTAGAATACTTGATAACACATATCATTTGAGATGTGGACTAGTTAAAATTGTTCTTTGTACTTTTGTATATAAATAATATAACAGTCCTCGGCTAATTTCTGCGGGTGTTAAAAAACCCGGGTTCCCCAATCACAACCACTACTATCCAAAAGCTAAAGGAACCACGGTGATTAAGTGGGTAAGACGTTGGCTCGCTGGTTCGATCCCTGCTTTGGCCGAGAAAGTTCATCAGGATTTTTTCCGACGTGATTTCCCCTTTTCAGTGGTGCCTGGCATGAACAGCTGTTCGGATGGGACGAAAAACCGAGGTCCCGTGTATACATTGACGTGCACGTTAAAGATCTCTTTGCAGTTGGAATTTGATATAAGAGTAGGCCATAATGCTGCTACTCGGGCAAAATTTCCCTCATAGCACACTGTATGTCGTATGCCCATCTTCATGAGCCCAGTCGGAGCAGAACAGTAGGACGTTAAACCCCATTTCATTTCCAAAAGCTAATAAAATAGCACTTAAAGTGTTAGATATCACGTGACTTGGCCTGCGGAATTCTTTGCAATTCTGATACAGCGATTTATTGCCAGACTATGACAGATTTCCAAAGTATTTTACATTTATTGAAATTGACAAAAACTCGGCAAATATGTTCTTATCTTATTGAAAACGATAATTTGACCTTTAAGATGGCGTCGGGAATCTTTTGGAATTATAGATATTATCACGAAAATAATAATGGACATTTATACCGCACGCAATTCCATTTTAATAAGAATGCTTATATGTTTAACAACTAAATCACGGCGCAGAACAATGTCTGCTCCCTCGAATTTAATTTACGACATACTGGCCACCCACCATCTTATTATTCTACCCGGAGATTATGGAAAACCATACAGCTCTTTATTCAGTGTTGTTAATTCTTAGTTCTTAATTTATAGTCCTTAATAGACTAATTTCAATTTTTTTTATTTAATGCTAGATCAGATTAACTGATATATATATATATAAGTTAATACGAGAGAGAGATAGAGAGAGAGATAGAGAAGTCGCGGTGATCGAGCGATGTTTCCTATTGTATATATTCCGGATGTCATAAAACAAGACGCGTATCATCGATAAAATTAAGACAAACTATACAATATGACTTCATTCAGTTAAAGTGATATTGTCTTCTTTATGACAGTTATTTCCAGCAACGAGGGAGAGAGAGAGAGAGAGAGAGAGAGAGAGAGAGAGAGAGATAACACGCACGCGATTTCACTAAAGTCGCGGTGATCGAGCGATTTTTCCTATTGTATATATGTTTGCACGATTCTCCTTTGTTGTATGGTGACTTATTGTATGCCAGGTTGATTTCCGTTCATGTCGTCATAATTTCCGGTTTGATGAATTTCGAGAAATGTTTTTGGAGAAATGTTATTGAAGAAATGTTTTTGAAGAAATGTTTTGCAAGATTTGTATTTGGAGATTTGTATTTAGAAATTTGTTGTTCGAGATTTGTTTTTCGTTGTATGTCTATGATGAAATGTAAATGTAGATTATTTTTTTGATTTAATAAAATAAATTTTATCCTTATATTAAAATAAAATTAAATTAAACAAAAATACATTTTACAAATCTGATATGACAAATGTCTGATTTGTAAAACAAATATTGATTTTAAGATACAAATGTTAATTTTAGTGTACAAATGTCGAAATACAACAACAAATGAAGAAATAAGAATCAAGAACTATGAATTAAGAAATAAGGACTAACAACACTGAATATAGAGCTGTTTGGTCTTCCATAGGAGATTAGCAATTTGCCTTCGTTAACTATTGGCTCCGATTCTGATTCTAGTTCTTCTGTGGGCAAATCGTTACAGGTATCCCATACTAATAACGGCAATCAAATGAAATGGGGTTTAACGTCCTTCTGTTCTGCGCCGACTGGGCTAATGAAGACAGGTATACGTCATACAGTGTGTTATGAGCAGTGGCGCCGCCAGGGGAGGGGGGCAAGGGGGGGGGGGCATTTGCCCTCTGGTCTGCCCTCTGTTTGCCCCCCCCCCCTCCAATAATTTTAGAAAATAAAAAAAAGTATTTGTGATACGTTTCGGTAATCAATACCTTCTACGTTGAATAAATCCCACATCCACACTCAGTCATAAACTTTCATGTTGTAGAGCATTTCCGACAGTCTGTTTTTCAATATTTTCTTGGCGAGGCCCCCAATGGACTCGCTACTTTGGCGCTCACAAGGGAATTCGTTGAGGTTCGCAAGTCCGTTCGTTTGACATTTTGTTCTCTAGTCGGATAAACTAGTGATCAGGCGACGGACGGAATCTGGTCAGATCTATTTATCTCGACGATCGGTGCCTGACAGAATACTGTAAGACAGCATTTCCTACAGTCTATTTTTCAAAATTTTCTGGGGGAGGACTCCCTAATTTGACGCTCGTGAGTGGGCTTCGTCGTAATTCGCAAGTCCGTTCGTTTGACACTTTACCTCGTCGTTCAATGCCTGAAATACTGCCAGGCTGCATTTCCGGCAACCTGTTTTTCAAAATTTTCTGGGGGAGGCCCCCTACCTCTAGTTGAAGCTCGTGGCTTTGCCCCCTTAACCTTGGACTTTGCCCCAGCTTTGCCCCTCCAACCACCGACGGCTGGCGCCGCCACTGGCTATGAGGGAAATGAAATGGGGTTTAACGTCCTTCTGTTCTGCACCGACTGGGCTAATGAAAACGGGCGTACGCCATACAGTGTGCTAGGGAAATCACTCCTCGACAGCTACGATCTACTATTATATCAAATTCCAACTGCCAAAGGTTATTTTACGTGTATGTCAATATGTACATGGGACTTGGGGTTTTCATTCAATCCGAATGGCTAGACATTTTCCTTGTCAGGCACCCTGTCCTACACCACTGACGATGGGAAGTCATTCCGAAAAATCCCGCTGAACCTGCTCGGCCAACACTTGGATTGATGAAATTAACCGACATTTGAATTCTACTTGATCGGAAATGACAAGGACAGCTATCTATTCGTTTGGATGGGACGAAAAGTCTAGGTCCCGTTTACACATTGGCGTGAACGTAAAAGATCCCTTGGCAGTTGGAATTCGATATAAAGATTGATCGTACTACCGCTGTCCAGGCAAAATTGCTCTCATAGAAAACAGCATGGCGTATGCCCGTCTTTATTAGACCAGTCGGAGCAGAACAGTAAGACGTTAAAGCCCATTCAGTTAACTGTCTGCGTTCTTTAATAAGATGTATACAAATGCTGAATTTGCCGCCAATATATGTTAAGATAATTTAATAAATGTTTTTATTTTTAGAATTGTAACACACGGCAATATTTTAATGATAAAGAAATTCTAGCTCTAATTGTGGCCTGTCTCTGTCATGATCTAGATCATAGAGGTACTAACAACGCTTTTCAACAGAAGTAAGTCCATCTCTCTCTCTCTCTCTCTCTCTCTCTCTCTCTCCACTGCCAATATATATTTAAAGATGCATTATGTAAGCGTTCAATCTGCCCATCGTGGATCATTTTTCTGGTATCAATGATCTTGGCAATGATCTTTGACTATCGAAAAAATCCTAAACTCAGTAGTTTGAGAGGGGATTACGTGGCTAAGTGGGTAAGGCGCTGGCTCGCTAGCCTGGAGGTCGGGTGTTCGATCCCTGCATTGGCCGAGAAAGTTCATCCAGATTTTCCGGCGTGATTTCCACTTGTCAGTGATCCAGGACGGAGGGCCTGACAAGGACAGCTGTCTAGTCGTTCGGATGGGACAAAAAACCGAGGTCCCGTGTACATATTGGCGTGGACGTAAAAGATCCCTTAGCAGTTGGAATTCGATAAAAGAGTACGCCGTAGCGCCGCTGCCCGGGCAAAATTTCCCTCATAGCACACTGTATGGCGTATGCCCGTCTTCATTAGCCCAGTTTAGGGGCAAAACAGTAGGACGTTAAACCCCAGTTTATTTCATTTCATTTCAGTAGTTTGACTGAAATTGTGTAATTTGTTTTGTCCGCTGGTTTGTCTTATCGGTTTTGCATTCTTCGTAGTCCGGTTTCTCCTGCACATGCTATTTGGTAGTCACCGTGTCTAACTGCCAAGACTGTTCCAAGAATCTTTCTTGTCTACTGTCCCCGATTTCCAACCACTAGGGGCCCAAACGACCCCCGATATCCACCTCGGGACAAAGGGGTCAATACGTTAGCTTTACATCACGACAAGGAGTAAGGTCACTTTCCCGGCCTCGGAGGCTTTCTCCGGGTCCACCCAATGCTAATGACTTCAACGCGTAAGCTAATTATTTAAATACCCCTGGAAATGGCCTGGTATGTGTCGAGGAGTGGACGTTAAACTTCGCGCTATCAATCTATTGTATCTGTTTAGTAATTTTCCCAGAATGCTTGTTATGATCATTTTAATCGTTTATTGACAGGTCTAGCTCACCTCTAGCACAATTATACGGTACAAAAGCTACGCTAGAACATCATCATTTTAATCATGCCATTATGATATTGAACAGTGATGTAAGTATTGACTATTTTTTTTATATAAATTTGTTAAAATCCGGACCTTGTGTGAACCCTCGATACTACTTTCAAACTCGGTCAGCACCGGACGACAATGAAGTGCCATATCTGTGGTAATTTAAGCTGGAATGTATTTGTATTTCGGGTCGTGTATTTTTGAAACTATTATTGAAAAATAGGTAATTAATAAAATGGTAGCGACTTGACAACTCCTGTAAGCCCCGTGGGTTAGAGGCTGTCACAGTAAACGGTAGGTTCCGGGGTCACTCGAGGAGGATCCTCGGTATTTTTTAATATGGTGCACCCCTCCCCCCAGAATACTTCACGACTATACCTGTAGGCATTAGCCCAGGATCACGTGGCTAAGTGGGTAAGACGCTGGCTCGCTAATCTGGAGGTTGGGTGTTCGATCCCTGCATTAGCCGAGAAAGTTCATCCAGATTTTCCGGCGTGGTTCCCCCTTGTCAGTGATGCAGGACGGAGGGCCTGACAAGGACAGCTGTCTAGTCCTTCGGATGAGACGAAAAACCGAGGTCCCGTGTATACATTGGAATGCACGTAAAAGATCCCTTGACAGTTGGAATTCGATATAAGAGTAGGCGATAGTGCCGCTGCCCCGGCAAAATTTCCCTCATAGCACACTGTATGGTGTATGCCCGTCTTCATTAGCCCAGCATAGAAGCAGAACAGTAGGACGTTAAACCCCATTTCATTAGCCCAGTTGGTGCAGAAACGCACGAGGTTAGGCCCCCTTTTTATTTCAATGCCATCTATTTATAAATTATTGTTACCCATATAAGGTGAACGCTTATATTAAGTAAAACGTGAAATGATCTCTAAAATCAGAAAGCGCCATAATTGTGCTTTAAAATTATTGTCCGTAACTCTCACCCATAATTGTGCTTTAAATTATTGTATATAACTCCCACCCATAATTGTCAATAATTGGGCTCAGATATTTACTTCCTATTTATTATGAGACACTACGTGTGATTGGTCAGTCTTTGTTATTTTATTTTTCTTACAACACTTCCGGTTGTTCGGGCTAGAGATAAAAGCTAACAATTATATACATCATCTTGTGAAATGTTAAAAGGGGGAATTTATTTTATTAAACATAATATTTTTCCTCCCGGCAGACTCTATTGATCGTGGTTTTTCAATTGTTCGATCATTAACTGAAGAAAACCTATAAAATATGCCACAATTGACAAAAATTGTATAAAATGTCGTTATATAGAAATCTTTGCGAGATAATTATCGACGTGTTCATTATAAAATTTATAACAATTACTGTATTTTGAATACGTGGATAATGGGTGGTACGCGAACAAATGTCAAGTGAACAGAGTTTTTTTTTTTTCTTCTCTCTGTGCGTCGTATTCCTTAACACCATAATAATATGGTGAATTGTATGGAAATAAAGTGCGTGAGTGGATTGATTTTTTTTCTCCTTTTCTACTCATACCTTACAAGGTTTGCTGCATGCAAGATTTAGCTTTAAGGGCATCCGTCCACTTATAATACGCGCTAAAGAAGCTATAGCTCTGTTCTTTTTAAACCAAATGGACGTAAAGGGTCACAAGGTACATCTTATTGTAATATTGGTGTATATGAGCTGATTTAGATTCATTTTCTTTACAATTATATTGTAATATCGAAATACGTGAGCAGACTAAATTGGATTGAAGTCGCTCCCGGCTGGTTGACCCAGTCTACATCGGAAGTACGGTTTGACATTTTACTTACGCACTGACCTTTTGCCTCGTTCATTAAGGCGCCTCATTACAAATGGCACTGGTCGACTGATTTTAAAATATAACATACTGCCTAAAATAGGATGTTAGGATCCCATATTTTCACAGAATATGACAAAGTACATTACTATTTATTTAATGGACCAATAAATTATGTTTGCAATGTCGAAGACTCTATATAATATTGAGTTAAGACTATACTCCCTTTAAATACTGGGGAGATTGGGTGGCTAAATGGTTAACGTGTGTGTGCTGGTCAAGCTGGCTGTCATTGAGTCATGTGGTGTGGTTTCGATTCCCCGCTTGTACGGAACAAGGAGTAGGCTATGGTCGTCTGTCCAACATCGTGAGTTTTCTCCGGGTCCTCCAGTTTCAACCCACTGCTTACGACCCTACGCAGAAGCAAGTTATTGAAATAAAATTGGAACATAGTTTGTGTCGAGTGGACGTAAAATCCCATTTCTCTTTCTATCTCTCTACCCCTTTAAATACTGGGGTAATTCAACGGGTGTACTATTACTGGGTAATATTGACTTAAAGCTTTTCACATTGACAGCTTGACAGAATAAAGTGTAAAGTACTCGAAGTAAGAAACATTAGAAACTTACTATCAATCAATGTCGCCCTATTAAATAAAAAAAATATTGAATTTTATTTTTATGATATTTTCAGGGTCATAATATATTCAGCAATTTTTCATCTGAAGACTACAGTGAAGTTATTAATTTGTTAAAACAAGCCATATTAGCCACAGATTTGTCATTACATATACAGTAAGTATAAGCCATATTACCATTACATATACAATACATATAAGCCATATTATCATTACATATACAATACATATAAGCCATATTACCATTACATATATAATACATATAAGCCATGTTATCATTACATATACAATACATTTAAGTCATATTATTATTACATATGAAGTTAGTATAACTCATATTATCATTACATACTATTATGTGTAAAGTAAGTGTAGGTCATATTATCATTACATATACAGTAAGTGTAGTCATATTATCATTACATATACAGTAAGTATAAGCCATATTACCATTACATATACAGTAAGTGTAGTCTTATAATCATTAACTATACAGTAAGTATCAGACATATTATCATATCATATGTGAACAGTAAGTGTAAGCCATATTATCATTACATATACAGTAAGTATAAGACATATTACCATTAAATATGCGTAAAGTAAGTGTAGGTTATATTATCATTACATATATAGTAAGTGTAAGCCATATTATCATTACATATACAATAAGTATAAGTCATATTATCATTACATACTATCATTATCATTACATATTATCACATTATCATTACATATAGAATTCCAATAAGCCATATTATCATTTCGGGTGGGGGTGGCCGAATAGTAAGCACGTGCGCGCTGTATCATAAGGTCTGTCATTTAGTCAGCTGGCGAGGTTTCGATTCCCCGGCTGTACGTGACAAGAAATAGGGTCGACTGTCCATCCCCTTGGGTTTTCTCCGGGTCCTCGAATTTCTCTCACTGCTAAAGACCCCTAAGCGCAAGCGAATTTTTAAAATATTGAACCATGTGTTAGTCCAGAAATGACCTAGTTCATGTCGACGTTAAACCCCATTTCTTTCTTTCTTTCATTTTATTACCATTACATATACAGTAAATATAAGTCATATTATCATTACATATACAGTAAATATAAGTTCTATTATCATTACATATACAGTAAATATAAGCCATATTATCATTACATATACAGTAAATATAAGCCATATTATCATTACATATATAGTAAATATAAGCCATATTATCATTACATATACAGTAATATAAGTCATGTAATCATTACATATACAGTATATATAAGTCATATTATCATTACATATGCAGTAAATATAAGTCATATTATCATAACATATTAAGTTAGTATATGTCATATAACACATAATGTACAGTGAGTATAATCTATATGAGCTACATATTTTGCCGTCCGTAAACTTTTATCATCTTCGTCTCACATATCCTTTGCTAAAGACACGCTCTCTTTACTATGTACGTTAACACCCCGTTGGAACACCTGCGGTGGCCTGAAAGGGCCTATCTTTCTCTAATCACGTTCTTATTGCAGTTTCAACTTTCCTTAGCAAATGAACTAAATCATATTGGAAGAGGATAACAAACTGTCCCCAAGCTGACAAATCGGCCCCGTTTGTCGCGACGCAGGAGCGCCATCACGTAGTGATCTCTAAAACTATTATGACCACTTCCACCTTCATTTCTATCGGGTTTGGAGCTCAAAGTACGGCAATAAACTCGCTCTAACTTGACTGAATTAAAAATCTAACATACCTTTCGACTTTGTGGAATAACAATCTATAATTCTACTGATCTATTTTTTGAAAATCTTATCGGATTCCTGAGAACAGATGTAGGCCTATTTTCTTCATGATCACCATCAAAACATTGAAGAATCCATTATGTCGTAAATTTTATGTTAATTAGATTGCCATTTTGGATCCATGTGTCAACGCTTTAAATCACATGGATCCAGTAAACCTTCTAACTGTTTAATTCCATTTTTTTCATTGAAGATTCTTATATTACAAATCTTTCCTTACACTAGAAACGTAATCACTGGATGTTAAAACGTAAAATATCTTCATTAGTTCTGTACCGAATTAACCTAAGAAGATAAGGGTTCAATTATACGTACTTTCTGACTAAGTTTGTTATAAGACTTATTAAGTCAATAATAGGATTGCAGACCTAAGATTCTTATGAAGCTCAAATTACTAATATCATTACTGGTTTCTGTATTGATTTATTCCAACTAAATTTATCACATCAAAGTTGACTGGGGTTAACAGCCCGGAGTCATGGTGGCTCGGTGAGTAAGATGTTGGATGTCCCGTGTTCGATCCCAGCGTTGACCGGCAAGGTTCAACGGGATTTTCCTGCGTGGCTCTCCCGTGTCAGTTGTGCAGGACCCATCGTATAGTCGTTCGGGTTGGACGAAAAACCGAGGTCCCGTGTACACATTGGTGTGTACGTAAAAGATCCCCTAACAGTTGCCGCTGTCCGGGCAAAATTTCACACATAGCACACTGTATGGCGTAAGCCCTTCTTCATTAGCCCAATCGGTACAGACAGTAGGACGTCAAACCCCATTTCATTTCTCTTGGGTTAACAATAATGTGATATAACCAGAGCAACATTTTTTGGAATAAAATAGGGTTTTTCGTCAAACTGTTCTGTACCGACTGGGCTATACAATATGAAACGTGCTATGAGGGGAATTGGGCCCTGACAATTCCAACTGCCAAGGGTTCTTATGAATAATAGCTAACGTGTCCGCGGATATCGGTTTTTGATCCGATCCGAACGACTGGACATTCTTCTATGTCGGGTTCTCCGCCCAACAACACAGACAAGAGGAGGCCACAGTAAAATATCCCGATGAGCTGTCTTGGTCAACACAGGGATCGAACCAACAGCCTTTCCACTGAGCTCCTGTGGCTTACTGCAAACATACGAGAAGGCTTGCCGCGCAGGCCTCCTTATTACCGACAAAAAAAAACTTTTGCGCATTCCCCATCCCAGTAATATATTCTAAAACTACTACACCGTGGTTAAAATATACACGGGGAGATAACTCCGCGAATATAGTTGCGGAAGTTCCGGATTCGTGATCAGCCTTCAGTTTTTACATATTGATACTAGTTAACCTTCATGTTGTCTTTTTTTTTTACAGATTACGTGAGAAGTTCTTTTCATTAGTTGATGCTGGTATAAAGATATGTGATGATCGTGAATCTAAAGAAATCTATCGGAGTATTATTATGACTACCTGTGATATAGCAGCCATTACTAAACCCTGGGATATACAAAGACGGGTAAGTACGGGAATCCTTGGCCGGGTTGGATTAAGTTTCCATGGGGACCCTGGCTGAACATGTTACTCGGGCCGTTGCATCAATGGTGGAGTACTGGGTGGCCGAATTGTTGGGGCGTGCGTATTGCATCATAAGGTCTGTCACTGATTCAAATGGCGTGGTTTCGATTCCCCAGTTGAAGGATGACAAGGAGTAGTGTTGATTGCCCAACCTCGTGGGTTTTTTCCGGGTCCTCATGTTTCCTGCCTCTGCTAAAGACCCCCACGCGCAAGCGAATTATTGAAATAAAATTGAATCATATGTTAGTCCCAAAATGACCTAATTTGTGTCGAATGGACGTTAAATGGAATTTGATTTAACGTCTTGTCAACACAATGCGTCCATACAGTGTGCTATGAGGGAAATTTTGCCCAGACAGCGGCGCTATGGTCTACTTTATATCATATTCCAACTACCAAAGGACCTTTTACGCACACGCCAATGTGTGCACGGGAACTCGGTTTTCCATACCTTCCGAACGACTAGATAGTTGTCGTTGTCTGGTCCTCTAGCCTGCGCCACTGACAAGAAGGAAGGCAGGGATCGAACACGAGATAACGTATTACTCACTGAGTCACATTGGCTCCCCACGTGTGTTATGTAAAAGTGAGAATTTTGAGCCGACAAAAGTGCTTCCACCCACTTCTTTAAAATGAACATGTTATTAAACCCTGAATTTCCCGCACCAAAGCTAATGAAGACGGACATATCTTATAGGTTGACGCTATTTTGTGTTGATAACATGGCTATATTCGTCAACGAAAGTGTCCTTAAAATTACGTAGTCTTTTATATCAAGTGTTCTACAAAATAACATGCCAAGAAAAGTGGCATGGAGTTAATGATTTCTTCGAGTGATATCAAGTCGTTGGAATTTTCAATTGAATGAAATGTTCCATGGATCACGTTCATGGGTGATCTAAAACAATCATTTCGAGTGCACCGTGGATTCTAAGTAACTTCGTGCCATGGACTCGTGATGGATGGTTTGGTTTAATTTAATTCCATTAGCAAGACAGAACCGTTTAAGTTATTGGCTTGGCAATCACTCTCTCCTTTATCGGCCATTTTCCTCATTTTCTTCCAGTCTTTTTTTTCAACATTCCTTGTCTAATTTAGATGTAAAACGCGTAATACAATAGACATTAATTCGGTTAATGATGGAATGTCTTCGTAAACATGGTGGTAATAAAAATAGAAGTATCCTACTTTCAATTTAAGTTCGTCTCCTTAACTTCTCAACAGGCCGTTTAAGTGGTCTTTATCTATTCATGTTGAAGGCAATCATTTACATGTATTACCATGTATTATGTACCGACCTTAACCTTCAAGATCTGCTAGGTCATGGGTGGGCTGGGTGCTAAGAGGGCGACAGAGGCAGAGAAATACAAAAACAGAGGGAAATGTTTATTGAAATAAAATTGAACCATGTGTTAGTCCCGAAATGATGGAGTACGATGGACATGACACTTGACATGATTGTTCCTCGGTCAATGGCGCATTGATTGGCGAACTCTAGGGGAGTGGCAATATAGGCCTAGCCTGTTCCGCAATCCTTTTCTGAGAATAAAATATTGTTTATAAAAAGAAAGAAAAAATATGCCCCCATGGATCAACGGGCTTCGATTTTTGTAGATTAGATTACAATTTCAAGATGGCTGCGATGACGTTTCCTTGTCTATAGTATGTTCGTAAGCACTCGTGTTTGTTCTAGTAACCAACCTCGTGGGTTTTCTCCGGGTCTTCCGGTTTCCTCCCACTGCTAAAGACCCCTACGCGCATGCGAATTATGTAAATAAAATTAAAACCATATGTTAGTCCCGAAATGACCTAGTTTGTGTCGAGTGGACGTTAAACCCCATTTCTCTCTCTCTCTCTCTCTCTCTCTCTCTCTTGTTCTAGTAATTATTTACATTATACTAGCCAAAAGTATTACCAACGCTTTGAGTTCGTTGTTTCGTGATTTATTTTTCTGTTTTAGTCAAAAATCTCACAATCTGATTAAAACATAGATCCTATTTCGTTTCGTTTTTTATAGTTCAAAATTTTGTTTTACTTGTCTTTACTACACTAAGATCTGGAAGAGTTGTTATATAACCCGCGTTCTGGATGATATGAGGGATTAGCCAATGAAACGGTCTGTTACGGCGAGTTTTTAGCGCGAGGTGCACGGAGCTGTGGATAAACCACTAGAAACGACAAATGCCTGACGTCATAAGGTCAAAAGCCGCTCGTATGACACCTGACGCGACCTTTCACTACAACTGGTCAGATGTTCATTTAGTGTCGGCCATCGAAAGTATAAAAAAACGAAACGAAATATAGATCTCTATTTTAATCTCATATTAGGCAAAGATTTTGCAAACTTGTCCTTAGTGATTCTTGGAAAGTATTTTGATCGCACATCAGTACAAAGAGACTCGAGAACCAGCATGGCCATATACAGACAGTTCCATGATATCCATATGTCGTGAATTATGTGGATTTTCTTCTGGCATAAAGGCTCATTAACACTGATTTACAGAACTAGACATGACATTGATTAAATTATGTGGCATGGATTAGACTCATAATTGCACTGATCTGCATGACAAGCAAGTAAAATTAGCCATATTCACTTCACCGTCATTGGAGCTCGCTGACAGTGGGGATCAAGGTCGGCTCATACTTTTACTTGATTTTTCTTTGCTCTAAATCTTTAAGGCGTACAATCGGGGAATCGAAACGACGCCACTTGACTCAATGACAAACCTTATGATGCAACGCGCACGCGTTAATTATTCGCAAAGCCAAACCCCGAGTATTTATTGCTATATTATACAATGTCGTCACTGTTTAGCAATATTTGAATATCTTATTACCAAGGTTGTGTCGTGGTGTTGTGTGGATATCGGTATTAAGTTCTATAATGATGCAATAGCGTGATGCACAAGATAAACATTGGGTATCATGGCCACCGACATCAATCATTATGGTAGTTTAATAGAAGGTTTGGGTTTGTTTTTAAATTGAGAATCAACGACTTTCGAAATTTGAATCTAGAATCTTGACAGGTTATGTTTGGCCTAGTGTTATTTATCAAATGAGTCGCCTACTCTTATATCGAATTCCAACTCCCAAGAGAGAGAGAGAGAGAGAGAGGGGGGGGGGTAAGTTCCACTCGACATAAACTAACATATGGTTTAATTTTAATTTCAATAATTCGCTGGCAAGAACAGCTGTCTAGTCGTTCGGGTGGGACGAAAAAAACCGATGTCCCGTGTTCATGTTGATGTGTACGTAAAAGATCCCCTGGCAGATTAAATTCTATATAGAACACTATATGCCCGTCTTCATTAGTCCAGTCGGAGCAGAACAGTAGGACGTTAAACCCCATTTCATTTCATTTTTTAGATCCGTCTTCATTAGCTCAGTCGGAGCAGAACAGTAGGAATTGAAATGAAATTAAATGGGGTTTAACCCCCTACTGTTCTAATGAAGACGGGCATACGCTATACAGTGTACTATGAGGGAAATTTTGCCCGGACAGTTTCACTACGAAATCCAACTGTCAAGGGATCTTTTACGTGCACGTCAATGTGTACAGGGGACCTCGGTTTTTCGTTCCATCCGAACGACTAGACAGCTGTCCTTGCCAGGCCGTCCGTCCTGCATCACTGACAAGGGGGAACCACGCCGGAAAATCTGAATGAACCTCCAGGCTAGCCAGCATCTTATCCACCTTGCCACCGTGAGGCCTGGTGTGAGAATAATTTAAACGGGAATAGTTATCAATGAGAATTCTACATGTCGTGTTTTATTGTGTTGCCATGATTACCGGATATGTCTTTATTATGGAAATGGTGGGTTTCCATAAAAAAAATCTAGAAGTTGATGTAATTCATTTTGAGGAATGAGTTTCAGTTTTTTATGTCATTTATTTTTTACTACTGACACTTAACATTGATGCTTGGATGGCTACTGTCAATTATTTCTACCGTAGTATTGCAACACGCTCGTTTTAAACATACATTATGCAAGACATAAATCTGCCTATTCTAGACCTTTCTTTAGGCCTGAAATGTTATATAAACTATTAATTAGACATTAATTAGATTATCCTGGTCATAATCAACACTCGATGACATCGCTAGCCTGCGGTATTTACTGTATTAGAATCCGATCTGCTGCTCAACCCTCATTGATAATTAAATCAAAAAATGGATAATCGAGACTCTCTCTCTCTCTCTCTCTCTCTCTCTCTCTCGCTCTCTCTCTCTCTCTCTCGGGAATTTCCAGTTCCACCATGGGCGCTATTAGTTCATCAGTGATCTATGCGCATGACAAATTGCGCAAAATGTACACCCGTAAAAGACTTAATTGCGATTACGATTCATATTTTTGTTAATCATTGATTTGATTTGCATAAACAAAATAGAGATAACTACGATTGTGTTTGATGTTTTTGGACCAGGAGTGGACAGAAAGCGCATCTCATCTTCTTCTTGTTCTGCTTCTTGTTCTTCTTGTTCTTGTTCTTCGAAAAAAAGCCAAAGGTTCCACCAATTGAAGTACGATTAACTTGACGCCTGACATGCGCGCCCCGTGTACAGTTTCGCATCGATTGATGTACTTCCATTTTTGATGTGACGTCAGAATTTCAAGATGGTGGCGATTGCTTCATGATTAGTTACTTGTCCGTAGTTCGTCCGTAATTGTTATTATTCATTGATTAATTTCTCTTTCAGGCTGCTGATTTGGTTGTTACAGAATTTTTTGATCAGGGTGATAAAGAAAAGAATGAGTTAAAACTTCAACCAATGGTAAACACTTTGTTATTTATTTAAATATTAAAGCTGATCCGTCTGGGTAATCGTGAATATATTTGTGTTAAATTCCACTTAAGTATTTACAATGATTGATGCAAGGGCTGTTGTTAGGTGATGGGCGTCAATTATCTTTATATTTTGAAGATAGAATTTATAAAATTCTGAGTAAAAAGGGTTTCGAATGATTATGTAGAATAATTTTTATGAAAAGACATTAGCATCATAAAACTGATGATATTCGGGCAATCCGATTCTGCGGGGTTGGATGGCCGAATGGTTAGCACGAGCGCGCTGTATCATAAAGTCTGTCATTGAGTCAACTGGCGTGGTTTTGATTTCCCGGTTGTACGTGTGAAGGAGTAGAGTCACCTGTCCAACCTCGTGGGTTTTCTCCGGGTCCTCTGGTTTCCTCCAACTACTAAAGACCTCTACGCGCATGCGAATTATTGAAATAAAAACCATATGTTACTCCCGAAAAGACCTAGTTTATGTCCAGTGGACGTTAAACTCATTCCCCTCTCTCTCTCTCTATCTCTCTCTCTCTCTCTCTCTCGCAATCCGATTCTACACATTGTGTAACCTGTATACGATTTGCCAGTCTTTACCATTGCGACTTCCGGTCCCACACAACCGAGCCTGCAAGGTGTAATAAATTCAGTTTTTCGGCTCACAAAGCAAGGGCATATTACTGTGCAGAACACATAACGTCACGTCCTTTTCATTAAATTCGGCGTGCACGTGAAAGAACTCCTTTACACTCGGAACTCGATGAAGAGTAGATGGAAACGGTGCTTCCTGGTCAAAATGTCCTTCATAGTACACTGCATGGCGTATGTCCGTCCTCATTAGCCCACACGGACGAAGGGCCTGACAAGAATAGTTGTCTAGTCGTTCTGATGGGACAAACCATCGAGGTCTCGTGTACACATTGGCAATGGCATGCACGTAAAAGATCTCTTGGCAGTTGGAATTCGATATAAGAGTAGGCCGTAGCGCCGCTGTCCAGGCAAAATTTTATAGCACACTGTATGACGTATGTCCGTCTTCATTAGCCCAGTAGGAGCAAAACAGTAGGACGTTAAACCCCATATTATTTCATCCACGTTGTGTATTCTACAGGCATGTATGGACAGAGAGAAACAAGATGAAATAGCCAAATTACAAATGTCGTGGATTGATGGCATCTGTTTACCGCTGTATAAGGTAATCTAACTCTATCATCTTTTAAAAATATTAATAACTGTAATAATGTAATGGGCTGCGATATCAATCCAGAGGAAGCGGCGTTAAATAAAACTATTTCACACATATCCAACTCTATCCCCTGACGTAAGATGCTGATGATTCCGATTTTGAACCATTCCACACCGCCAAGACAAAAACCCCAGAAACAATAACCCCCAGACGCAATAAGCTACTATCCTACAATACTATAAGCTACTATCCTACAAACAATATCCCCAGAAAAAATAAACCCATAAGCAATAACCCCAGAAGCAATATCGCCTGAAGCAATAACCCAAGAAGCAATAATTTCAAAACTCCAGAAACAGTAATCCCAGAAGCAAAAACCCCAGACACAACAATCCCGGAAGCCGTAATCCCAGATACAATAACGTCAGAAACAATAATCCCAGAAGCAATGACCCAGAAACAATAATCCCAAACCGCAGATGCAATAGCCAATAACCCCAAAAGCAATAACCTCAGAAACAATAACCCCCAGACACAATAACTACAGTAGCAATAACCCCAGAAACAGTAACCCCCAGGCACATTAACTACAGAATCATTAACCCAAGAAACAGTAACCCCCAGACACAATACCTACAGAAGCATCAACCCCAGCAACTGTTACCTCCGAAACAATAACCCCAGAAACAGTAATCCCAGATGCAATATCCCAGAAACAAGACACAATTTAGAAGATCTTGATCATTTTTTTCTGGCTCTAGCGCAGGCCGATATCTCCCCATCACCTATAGCTAGTCGAGGAGAGGGAGGATATGCCACAAATGTTCCGTTTTCTTTATAGTATTCGTTGAGGAATGGAATGTAGGTCGATAACGTTATATTTTATGTTCTTCTCCAACTGGGCTAATTAAGACGGACATACGCCATACAGTGTGCTATGAAGACATTGTGCCCGGGCAGCAGCGATACGACTTACTCTTATTTTGAATGCCAACTGACAAGGGTTTGAACGACTATACGTTGTCTCTTGCCGGGTCCTTATAGTTTTATGTGTATCAGATGAAACATAACTTTCACTGTTTCTGTTTTAACTTTTCAGAAATTAGCTAAAATGGATACCAATTTTGAACCGATGTTGAAAGGTGTGTTGGCTAATCGAGACAGATGGGAAATACTAGACGCAGAAAGACTGGCTAAACAGGCTGTTTTAGAAACTGGCGTGTAAAGACTAACTAAACAAGCTGTTTCTAATCTCAATAAGCTGTTTTAGAAACTGGAGTGTAAAGACCGCTAAACAAACTGTTTTAGAAACTGGACTGTAAGAACCGCTAAATAAGTTGTTTTAGAAACTGGAGTGTAAGGACTTTCGAAACAAGCTGTTTTAGAAACTGGAGTACTGACGTGTTAAGACTAACACAAAGGGAGTGTAAGCACTTGCCAAACAGGCTGTTTTAGAAACTGTGTGTAAAAACTAGCAAAACAAGCTTTTTGGAAACAGGCGTGTAAGACTAACTAAATAGACTGTTTTAGAAACTGGACTGTAATAACTAGCAAAAAAGAGCTGTTTTAGAAACCACCGTGTAAAGTTCAGCGATAAATACGTAACCATTCTTTGTGTAGCTACTCGTATCTTAATGCATTTCTCGTTCTATTTCCGGAAACTAGCGCAGGTGAACATGCCATTTAGGACATCGTTGTAGTCTTTTGAAGGACTACTGGACCTCGATTCTTCAACCAAAACAACAGGAAACAAATGCAGATCAAAGGTTGTCCATTCATGTTAATTTAAAGGCTTTATATTATATTTTAAAGCACCATAACAAACTAGACTATTTTAAATGTTAAGGATATTGCGTGAAAGTTCTATTCGCGGCAAGGGATCGTTTTATAGGCCATTGGTGCCTCTGAATGAACCTACCCTGATGACGTCATATGGTGGGATTTGTTTGATGTGTTCCTATCGCGGAAGGGGTTGTTAAATACGCTACGCACAAGACGCTACGCAATATTGCTGAAGAAACAAAACGATTTTAATATTATTATATAACATATAACTATCAAGCACAATAGTGCATGAGCGTTTACAAATTTTATAATATGACTCCTCAGTCAGTGGATTTGGTCCACGTGGGGTTTTAAATGTGGCTATATACGGACAATCTTACCAATTGATCAAAGACGTAACAGAACCTCTAAACTATGTAAAAATATTAATTTCTTTAGGTCCACATTAACTTTTTTTAGCCCCCCCCCCCCCCCCGAGCCTACCACATTCACTGACTCCTTCTTGGTCAACAATGCGTTCTTGTCAGACATCGGGAAACCTCGGCAGACTCAGGTAACCTACATCTAACCTCGGCTGTATGGCGGTAAGTGATGTGTAGCTACACTCATACAATTGTGATGCGGCTACCGGCCGGTTTACTTATTCGGAAAACTAGCCGCTTTTAGAAAGAAGTTCTCAAAATTGCGTCGTTCGCAGAGTGTGTAGAGTTGTTTTTTTATTTCAAATTTGTCCTAGCAATGTAAGCGTTTGCTATCGGACGTACATAACAAACAATATCCAGTTTCTTGAGATAAAACACTCTTCACATGCGTCTTCATCGGCGCCGCCATTTTTAAAAGTAGTTCCAATGGTTGAATTCCACTCGGCAAACCTCGGCAGATTCCGTTACTCTACATCTAGCTTCGGCTGTATGACGGTAATTGATATGTACCTACGCCTATACAATTGCGATGCGGCACCGGTTTACTTATTAGGAAAACTTGTCGCTTTTAAAAAGAAGTTATCAAAATTGCGTCGTTCGAAGAGTGTGTAGAATTTTTAGTGCAAAGTTTTCCTTGTTTGAAGAAAATAGAATAACCTTCAAAGAAAAACAGCTTCAGACTTTGAAATATTTGTATGATAAAACATTCTTCAAAGGCGTCGTCATGGGCAACGCCGTTGGTAATCCGGGAACTTGAAAGTAGTTTCAATGGCGGACTTCGTCATACAGCCGAGGCTAGATGTAGGGTACTGGAATCTGCTGAGGTTTGCCGAGTGGGGGTTTGGTGTAGGGTACCGGAGTCTGCCGACTGCCGAGGTTTACCGAATGGGTGACTTTGAATTTGCTTATAAAGTTCAATATACTTAATGTTTCGTGCTTACTGTTATTACATCATTCTGTAACTTAAAGGCTAATTGGCACAGTTAATTTCGTATTGTTTACTCTCTGGACCAAAAGCAATGACATAATGTACCAAACTGCTATATTTAGCAATAAACAAGGACAATAATTAACTTGCAATAATCCTGAAACAACCGGCACGTTGTCGGTTTTCAATGAATATTCTACTTCTGAGGCCCCTCTCAATTCTCCACCTTCACGACTAGTGGAAGATGAAACAGTATTGTGAACACAATTAAACAAAGTCAAGGGGTAGATCTAATTGATAAGGCCAACGTCAAGGTTGGTCAAAGGTCTCGAGATGTAAACAGGGCTAGCGCTAATCACAATCCTAACCCTAACCTACAATCTCACCAACAATCACGTGCCCTAACTTTACTTACATCTCAGCGAACTTGACGAAAATTGAGCTGGCCTTAACAAATAGATCTAGCCCAAAGCCAATGACGAAGACGGATATTTAAGACTACAGTGCATTTAACAACGGATTATGGCAGTATCAAAATTAGTGCCCCCCCCCCCCCGCCACCGCCCTACCCCTGCCCCTAGATCTTTAGGCCCTAGGCCTCAGCCTGCCAAGCCTTGGTCAATCCGGCACAGCACCAAAGATGGGATTAAAATCTTCTACAGTTGCGAATTAACCGATTTTTGGTCGCAAATGTTATGTAACGCTTTACGTACTATAAATCAAGTGGCATTCTTTATATGTGTTTTTGAAAGATTTTTTAAATTTACACAGATTTTAGCTGTGATCAGAAAATTATCACCTGTGATTGTTTTTCCTGTATTATGTCAGTATTTCCAAACCCATTAAGCCATCAATCGTCCTTTGCATTTATAGAACAATATCTATATTGGATCACTGGATAATACTAGCTAGTAACCATTAAAATGTACGTAAAATTTCAACTTAACCATTAGAAAACACTGTAGGCGCCATAACCCTGGATCCATGTTGCTATTGGACAAGCGCTAAGGCTAAGGCTCAAATAAAGGGGAATTAACTCTCCCATAATAGACGTACAGTCAGAAGCTGGGTGGGTAGATCTATTGTGTATTGTTTGTAAATGAAAATATATCATAATATGTTCTTTCTTGTAAATATTAATTTAGTTCAACAATTGTTAACATATCTTAATAAAACATCAAAAACACCATTCTCTATCTCGACTGTTCAATCCTTCACGGGGACACGTGACTACATGACGGTGCTTGATTGTCAGTCAAGAACGTCCCGAATTGACAGAATTGCAATCACGTGATACGGAATTCAACCCTGTCACAGTTCTGCCAGTCCAACAGCTGAGGTGGTGTGAGTAGAATCAGCTGCCAAGATTGGTTGAGATATTTTTTATGCAATCGGCACATGCATTGTACTCCGAAAATCTCCTTTTCACTCGATTGACACTATTTTTGGAATTGAGAAAATTTAATTCCGGAACGTTCAATCGAGTATCCCCCATGTTAGCAATGGTGGCCTGAAGCCGACTTCCGGTATGATGGCGTGGTACGAGAAAAACTAGTGTAAAGCGCACAAGAGAACCCTTAGAGCTGTTTAATCAGTGAGCTACAGGGCCCAGAATCTAGAGAATCGAGGCCCGTATACCCATTGAGGTACAAGGACCCAGAATCTAGAGAATCGAGGCCCGTTTAATGGGTGAGGTACAAGGATCCAGAATCTAGAGAATCCCGTATAATCAATGAGGTACAAGGGCCTAGAATCTAGATAATCGAGGCCCGTTTGACGTGTGAGATACCTGAACCCAGAAACTAGATAATCGAGAACCGATTAATCAGTGGGGTACAGAGAGACAGAAATGGGGGTAAACGCCCACTCGGCACAAACTAAGTCAGTTCGGGACTAACATGGTTTAATTTTATTTCAATAGTTCGCTTGCGCGTAGGGGTATTTAGCAGTGGGGGGGAACCCACGAAGCTGGAGAGGCAACCCTACTCCTTGCCACGTACAACCGGAGATTTGAAACCACGCCCAGTGCCGGACTGGGCCCACCTATAAAGAAAAAAGAAAAAAGAGAAAGAAAAAAAAGAAAAAAACAAAAGAGAAAGAAAGGAGAGGGGGAGGAAAGAAAAGAAAGAAGGAAGGAGAAGACATGAATAAATGGTTACTTCTTTACAGAACAATTATCAGTTATTATCACAGAAGTAAACAAATATCATCATAAGCTCGTGAGGTTCATGAGCGTATGATGATATTCGTTTACTTCTGTGAGTTCGAAGATTCTCGCTATATTCTGTGATGTGCGTCAACAGAACTGTCAAATACGTGTACTGTATGTATATTATAATTTGCATTATTTTCATCACGGAGATTAAAAGGGTTTTTTTTGACACTGAAGATAATTCTCAAATTCATCTAATGAAAGTTCTCTTAGGTCATTCTGTTATCTAATTGTATCAGGAAATCAAAAATGGGTTTGCGGTTGTCAATTTTCAAAATTTTCCTGGGGTCTCCCCCCCACCCCACAGACCCCCCTCAGACGCTCGCGCGCCTTCGGTGCGCTCGTGACGGGCCTTCGGCGCGTATTTGTGTGGGCCTTGGTCAATGACCTGACAGGTACTGACCACGCCAATTGACTCCATGACACAATGAGGTACAGGGGCTCAGAATCTAGCGAATTGAAACCCGTTCAATCAGTATCATACCGGTCCCCAGAAACTAGCGAATCGAAGCCCGTTTAATCAGTAGTGTACAAGGGCCCAGAATCTAGAGAATTTAGACCCGTTTAATCAGTGGCATACAAGGGCCCAGAATCTAAAGTCGCCCAATTTGTTTTGTTTTTGTTTTTTGTTTGTTTTGTTTTTTTGTGGGGTGGAGGCTGGGGGTGTTCCCATAAAATCGCCTAATTTGTTTTTTTTAACTTTGTTGTTAACCCTAAAATAGCCTAATTTGCTCCGATTGTCATGAGGTCGGTCAGAACAAACGGAGGTATTGCGTTTGATTGACTATCCAAAGATGCGGAGTAAGGGAAATGACTCTTATTTATATGAAAACAAATAGGAATCAGACCACAATCTCGATTTCAATCACTACATTTCAAATTGAACGGTAGGTAATTCACTAATTGCCTCATTGCCATACACTATATTTGTGGAGGGACTAACAAGGATTGCTGTCTAGTCATTCGGATCGGACGAAAAACCGAGGTCCAGTGTACAAGTAAAACCCTTGGCAGTTGGAATTCGATATAAAAGTAGGCCTTAGCGCCGCTGTCCGAGCAATATTTCCTCCATAGCACACTGTATGGCGTATGCTCGTCTTCCTTAGCCAAGTCGGAACAGAACAGTAGGACGTTAACCCCCATTTCATTTCATTTCATTTCACATCGAGGTCATTTCGGGACTAACACATGGTTCAATTTTATTTCAATAATTCACTTACGCGTAGGGGCCTTTATCAGTGGGAGGAAACCGGAGAAAACCCACGAGGTTGGACAGGCAACCCTACTCCTTGTCACGTACAACCGGGGAATCGAAACCACGCCAGCTGACTCAATGACAGACCTTATGATACAGCGCACACGTGCTAACTATCCGGCCATCCACCCCCTTTACAATTTATGACTCGACAGATTATTAATGTAAATACATATTAATCAAGTTGTACAATGGCTTTATCAACATCCTACTATATTTGTGCGATTAACATCTCCATTACTTTTCTGGTCACATCTTTGTTTCCACAGGTGCAAACTTTAATATTACTTGAGCACTTCAGGAATTTAGAGATCATCTTATTATAAATTCAGCCGCTAAAGGTAACACGAGTATTTTCATAGTAAAACGAAGGCAATAACTATGAGAGATATTATCGGGAATCAAAACGCCTCTTCGCCTAACGAACACACACAGTATGCCTAAATCTCAGTACAAATGGGTGTTAACATTAAAAGCTGGAAAACACAGGGGTTGACAAGTAAGGCAGTGTCTATTCGTACACATTTTCGTGCACGTAAAAGAATCGTTGACATATGGGGTCGGTGACGAAGGAGGGAGGTGGGCAAAATTATCCTCCCTTTTATTGCACACGTGACGATAGAAACAATAATTACAATATGTTAGTCTAAAAATGAACGAACAATTGTGTTGACGAGACGCTAAACTCCAGTACTTACTCCTCCCTAACTTTCTTTCCTCCTCCCTTAACATTCGTTTCTCCTCCCTTGCATTCCTTTCTTCTCCCTGACATTCTTTTCTCCACCCCACCCTCCTTAGCATTCATTTCTCCCCCTAGTATCATTTCTCATCCCTATCAACCTTTTCTGCCCCTAACATTCCTTTATCCTCCCTGGCATTCCTTTCTCTTCCCTAGCATTCCTTTCTCCTCCCTGGCATTATTTTTCCTCCCTAACAACCCTTTGTGCTCCGTAACATTCTTGTCTGCTCCCTTAAAGGACCTAAGTCCGTAACTCAAAATCCTCCAAAAACTTCGACATCGAAAACACGAATTATTGGTCAATTTTAATCAACATTGATGATGTAAACTTACCGGGAAAAGATGAGCTTCTGATATCCGATATTTAATATAAAATAATTTTTTTAACATTGGTACACGAATCCTGTACCATAATGCGCTTCAGCCCCAGTTGTATTGAGAGACTCGAGGGACGAGGCTAGACACATTGCACCAAATCAAATGGAGTTATGTAGACTAGAATAACTAGACGCTAGAAATTTGCACTCGATTGAGATTGCTGACTTATTTCGCCGAACATAGTGATTTGAAATTGGAGTAAAAACGGAAACCATTAAATGTAAATCAGTTTATATAGATTCATATTACAGTATTATATGCGTTGCGACCCACTTTTGTGAATTTCTAGGTCCCAAATGTTAGCGATTTAGCTCCTTTAACATTCCTTTCTCCTGCGTAGCATTTCTTTATCCTCCCTTAACAATCCTTTACAGATTCCTTTATCCTCCCTCTAGAACCCCTCTCTCCTCCCTGAAATTCCTTTCTCCTCCCTTATCATGACGTTCTGTCCATAGCATTCTTTTCTCCCCCTACCCTAGTATTCCTTTCGCCTCCCTATCAATCCATACTGCTCCCTAACTGACCCTAACATTCCTTTCTCCTCCCTGACATTCATTTCCTAAATTGTTGGTTACCTGAACTAGTCACTTGTCACAGATGATTCCTGTAGTACATGGTATCAGCTGTTCCGAAAATAACTGTTTGAATTTAATACTGTCAGAACGTAATCCATGTCAAAGTCTGTGTGACAGTCATGCATTATAAAATTAAGTTCACTTGAGAACAACTTTCGACAAATATTGCATGACATTATTTTCACAGGACCTCTTTTGTCCACTTCTTGTGTTATGTGTCTTTTAAGAAATGGCGACGCTAAATCCAGTTCCAAACTGGTCTTGTACTTTAATAAAGTATGTACACAAAGGGTCTTTAATGACTCCTCATACTCCTCTAAGTAGGGCGTGGCCACGGCGAACGTATTGGCTCGAGGAACACGTAAGCGCCTCAGCTCAGTTAAAATGGCCGATATTCCTCCAGAGCAAATATCCATTGATGGTGACGTCATGTTGTTTCCAGATAAGTCCAAATCTTCAAGTTGTGTTAAATTTAAGAACGAGAGTGGTAACTGAGTCATGTTGTTCGAGGCTAGATTCAATCGCTTTAGAGATCTTAAAAACCCGACGTACGGCGGGATGGTGGTGATGGAATTGTTAGAAAGATTTAGAATTTCTAGTTTTTGGAGATGAACTATTTCTATTGGTATCGTAACGATATAATTATCGTGAAAGTCAACCATCTTTAAATTAACACAACGACTAATTGATAGCGGAATGACCGGACATTTAACACCGCAAATAAAAAGTTCTTGAAGTGTTTCTGAGAAGAACCTAGAACTTAAAATGCAGTCATATGCGTTTTGAGCTATTATTTTAGGATGAAATTCTATGATCTCTGTGACATCTTTCTTGGTATTCACAGTCACATAGGCGTTTGATTGTGCTCCGATCTGTGGCATCATTCCAGATACTTGTCTTAGGTATTTAAATATTCCATCAACCCCTTTTGAACATATGGATGGATTAGGGGCTCTGAGAGGATTACCTTTAACATTTAGTTCTACTAAATAAATCATCTCCAAGACATCAACAGAAATGATTTCAATCCTATTATTCTTCAGAATCAGTCTCTCTAAACGTAGAAAGAGTAATGTTTGAGGAATGGATCTTAAACTATTGTCAGAGAGATCCAGTACTGTTAAGTTCTTAAGATCACTTAAACAATCTGGCAGTTCTTCTATTTGGTTTCGCCGTACAATTAATGTAGATAAATTTGAAAATCTGCCCACAACACTAGGAAATATTGGTATTTTCCCACCGGATGCAATCTTGAATTTCTGTAAATTTTTTGGCATCCCCACAGAGTTGAGAATCAACGTCAGAACATTAGACGCGTTTATCTTGTCTTTAATTTTCCAGCGAACTGGTTCGTATCTAATTAAAAAACAACTATAACTGCTACAGCTTAAACAACGTCTGTAAATGGTAGGATTGCAAATAACATGCGGGCCACAAGACATCTTTTTCCACCGACAAAAGCCAGAAGATACCTTCTTCGACCGACAAAAGCCGCAATCGAACCGCTTATTCTTTCCCCAGACCAGATAATCTGCACAATCCGAGCGGTATCTTTTGAAGTGCAGAAAATATAGGTGCCCACCATACTCTTCTTTGAAATTGGCCTTTGGTGGACGTCGGATTCTTTCAAGAATGGCTGACATCTTTGAATTCGTGTTCATGTACACCTTGTCCAATCAGAATACCTGAAACAATCAACATATAAACATTAGAAAAATATCATTTCTGTCGCGAGAACATTTGGTGAGAGAGAGAGAGAGAGAGAGAGAGAGAGAGAGAGAGAGAGAGAAATGGGGTTTAACTCCACTCGGCACAAACTAGGTCATTTCGGGACTGACATATGGTTCAATTTTATTTCCATAATTCACTTGCGCGTAGGGGTATTTAGCAGTGGGAGGAAACCGGAGGACTCGGAGAAAACCCACGAGGTTGGACAGGCGACCCTACTCCTTGTCACGTACAACCTGGGAGAGAGGGTCCACGAGGTTGGACAGGCGACCTTACTTCTTGCCACATACAACCGGGAAAACGGGACCACGCCAGTTGGCTCAATGGCAGACCTTATGACACAACGCGCACGCGCTAACCATTCGACCATCCAACCCCTCTCAAATAAGAGATATACCCTTCATGAAGCACTTTGTCACAATTTTCAACTGCGCCTATGGCCTGAAACCAGAAGTTTCCGGTTGGCGCAATTTAGGGTCTAACATATTACTCCATTTGAATTTCAATGAATCGTTTGCGCGTAGGGATCTTTAGCGGTGGGAGGAAGACGGGGGAACCGATGAAAACCCACCAGGTTAGGCTAAAGGGAAATATAGCGGGGTGGGACGCCCACTTAACACAAATTAAGTAATTTCGGGACTAACATATGGTAGTCTACTTTTCCTTTCTAGGCCTCCTACATGTGCAACATACAAGGAGAAATCAGGTTAATATAATATTAAATAAGAACATTACGCATTTTTGTAAGACATTAAGTAAAGTTGTGGCCTGATTCCAACTATATTATACAGTTGTTATTCCCCTTTAGTAATAATATATCTCGCTTACCTTTAGTTATTTAGTAAACATTTGTGTTGACCCATGTTCCTCTGTTAAATGATTACCTGTATTCTTCAACACATGAAACAATATAACACACTATATGGTACATAATTTACATCATTTCGTCGATTAACTTCATTTGACAAGTTCCGCTGGGTTCGGTCAACATCTATTTCTAGATCGTTACGACTTTATTTATATATATAGTAACTTACATTTAGTCCCGTATATCCAGACAGTATAACTAGTGATATCACATCGGGAGTCAGACCAGTAATTCTCTGTCCCGTTGACTTCAATGTTAAAGAACAATATTGGTGTCAGTCATTATCACATATATGATAGAACTGGTTCAACACGTTCCAAATATAATTTTAACACAGAGATCATCGCGCTACGATAGATGCGTTATGAAGACTTCAAGAAACGAAAGTCACGAACGCAAATGAAGAATTCTATGCAGAATTATTAATAGCACGGGATACTTTTCGAAAGCGGGGGACAAAAATGTATATTTCATCATATAAACATACTGATGCGATAGAATTGGATTTCAGAATTATTCATAACATTGTATACACGAAAGATAAACTCTACAGGATCGAGAAAACGGGAGATAATCTCTGTCCTCCATGTAAAATTGAAGTTGAAACAATTTGTCATAAGTTATTTAGTTGTCCATGTATATGCATCGAAATGAAATGAAATGAAATGGGGTTTAATGTCCTGCTGGGCTAATAAAGACGGGCACACGCCATACAGTGTGCTTTGAGTGAAATTTGTCCGGACAGCGGTGCTACGGCCTACTCTTATAACGAATTCCAACTGTCAAGGGATTTTTTACGTGCACGCCAATGTGTACACGGGACCTCGGTTTTTCGTCCCATTGGAACGACTAGACTGCTGTCCTTGTCAGGCCCTTATTCTATCCTTAGGAAGATTATCTATATAAAAAAAAGGAGACACGTCCTTCTAGACTTTGGAATTATCATAAATCCCAAATAAATATTTAAATCCTTAGTTTAGTATCAGCTTTTAAAAATATTAAAACACATTTTATGGGTGTTTTTTTTAAAATAAAATAGTTACAAAGAATAACAATTATTTCACCTATAACAAATATAGTATAATACTTAATAGTAAGTGCAGGGAGACTGCACCACACACAATTACACAAAACAAATCTTCGGAAAGACACAACACACAAAAATCACCAAAAAACGTAAATATCAGATCCGGGCGCTAGCCGTAAGCGTCTACTGCGATGTACAGTCCCGGGTCTGTAGTGATACAGACTGAACTCAAACATGAAAACTAACAATCAGGAATAAAACCCAGAGAAAAACGTACTGTAATAGTAGTATGAGTCATAATCTGTTATACGCCACATATATTGAAGTAAAAAATTACCTATACAAGTAACCACTGACGTAAACAGTGCAGTAGATTCTCATTGTTATAATTATAGACTATTAAATACAATGTATGTAAATAACAATGTACATATTTTTTACTAATGCCATGCTTTATACAGAGAGAGAGAGGGGGGGAGAGAGAGAGAGAGAGAGGGGGGGGGGGTTAACGTCCACTCGACGAAAACTAGGTCATTTCGAGACTAATTTTATTTCAATAAATATTTTACATTGAAAAAGCATCCATTTCCCCTCCTCCAGCATTCCTTCCCGCATTCCTTTCTGCTTCGTAGCATGCCTCTCTCACCCTTGCATTCCTTTATCCTCCTTCGCATTCCTTTCTCTTTCCTGTCATTCCTTTCCCCTCACTAGCATTCATTCCCGCGTTCCTTTCTACTTTCTAGCATGCTTTTCTCCCCCTAGCATTCCTTTATCTTCCTTAGCATTCCTTTCTCTTTCCTGTCATTCCTTTCCCCTGACTAACACTCCTTTCCCCATTCCTTTATGCTTCAAAGCATGTCTATCTCCTCCCGCCCTCCTTCCTTTCACCTCCCTAGCATTCCTTTTCCTTTCATGTCATTCCTTTCCCCTGACTAGCATTCCTTTCCCCATTCCTTTCTGCTTCCAAGCATGCCTATCTCCTCCCGCCCTCCTTCCTTTCACCTCCCTAGCATTCCTTTTCCTTTCATGTCATTCCTTTCCCCTGACTAGCATTCCTTACCCATACCTTTCTGCTTCCAAGCATGCCTATCTCCTCCCACTCTCCTTCCTTTCACCTCCCTAGCATTCCTTTCCCCATTCCTTTCTGCTTCCAAGCATGCCTATCTCCTCCCACTCTCCTTCCTTTCACCTTCCTAGCATTCCTTTCCCCACTCCAGTCTTCCTTTCCTCATTCTCTCCTGTATTCTCCCCCGGCATTTTGTTCTCCTCCATTCGCCTAGCTAGTATTCCTTTCTCTTCAATAGCATCCGTTGCTCCTCCCTCTTTTCTCGTCCTTGGCATTCCTTTTCAAAACAGTTATTCACCACAAGTAGTCAAATCTCAACATGTCTCTAACAGATGAATGTGGTCTCGGATGTTCCGAGATTACCTTCTTGTATTTAATACCGCCAGTACGTAATCCATGTCAAAGTGTGTGTGACATTCATGCATTATAAAATAAAATTCACTTGAGAAAATCTGTCCACAAACATTGCATGCCAGTATTTTTAAGGCGTTTCTTTTGTCCATTTCTTGTTTTATATGTCTTTTCAGAATAGATGGCGCTAAATCCATTTCTGTTGGTAAATTGATCCTGTGTTTTATTAAAATACGAACACACAGGGTTTGTAATGACTCCATACATTGTTCCTCACAGTAGGCTCGAGGAACACGTTGGCGCCACAGCTCAGTTAAAATGGCCGATATTCCTGACGAACAAACCTCCATCGATGGTGACGTCATGTCGCTTCCCGATAAGTCCAAATCTTCAAGTTTTGTTAAATTTAAGAACGAGAGTGGTAAGTCACTCACGTGGTTCGAGGCTAGATTTAATCGCTTTAGAGATCTTAAAAACCCGACGTAAGGCGAAATGGTGGCGATAGCATTTTTAGAAAGATCTAAAATTTGTAGTTTTTGGAGATGAACTACTTCTTTTGGTATCGTAACGATACAATTATCGTGAAAATCAGCCATTTTCAAATTAACACAACGACTAATTGATAGTGGAATGGCGGGACATTTGACACCGCGAATACAAAGTTCTTGAAGTGTTTCTGGGAAGAATCTAGAATCTTAAATTCTGTCATAATCGTTTAGAGCTATTATTCTAGGATGAAATTCGATGGTCTCCATGACATATTTCTTGGTATTCACAGTCATATAGGCGTTTGATTGTGCTCCGATCTGTGGCACCATTCCAGATACTTGTCTTGGGTATTTAAATATTCCATCAACCCCTTTTGAACATATGGATGAATTAGGGGCTCTGAGAGGATTACCTTTAACATTTAGTTCTACTAAATAAATCATCTCCAAGACATCAACAGGAATGATTTCAATCCTATTATTCTTCAGAATCAATCTCTCTAAACGTAGAAAGATTAATGTTTGAGAAATGGATCTTAAACTATTGCCAGAGAGATCCAATAATGTTAGATGCTTCAGATCACTGAAGCTGTCTGGCAATTCTTCTATTTGATTCCCACGTAAAATCAAAGTAGATAAATTAGGAAATCTGCCCACAACACTTGGAAATATTGGTAAATCTCCACCACGTGGAACCAAGAAATTTTGTAATTTTTCTGGCACCCCAACAGAGTTGAGAATCAACGTCAGGGTTTCAGGCGAGTACATTCGATCTTTAATTTTCCAGCAAACCGGTTCGAATCAAATTGGAAAACAATTGTAACTACCACATCTTAGACAATGTCTATAACCGAAGGAGTTACATGCCAAGAGCGAACCGCAAGGTAACCGTTTCGGCTTACAGTTACGACAATCAAACGTATTACGCTCAGTCACTCGCAAGACAGCATATTCTCGACAACCAGATTCACCCTTATTTAAGTGAGTAATATGTACGCGACCGCCATACTCTTCTTCAAAATCGACATTATCAATTTGTGGACGTCGGAATAAATCTCGTATTCTTTCAAGAATGGCTGAAAACATCTTTGAATTCGTGTCAAATCAGAATACCTGAAACGATTACCATAAAAATTAACATAACCAGAATTTTTCTGGTGAGCGCAGTTTCGGGATTAACATATTCTTTCAATATATCGGATGTGCGTAGGGATCTTTAGAGGTGGGGAAAACCGGGGGCCCCAGTGAAAATCCACGGGGTTATGGACATGCGAGAGGTGGTGGGGGAGTGCAACGTACACTCAACTCAAATCAGGGAATTTTGGGGACCAGCAAGGTTAGACAGACGACAATACTTTTCACACACAATTATGGGATCGAAACAACGCCATTAGACGACATGCCTTATAATCTAAACAACGCCATTAGACGACATGCCCTTTAAACTAAACAACGCCACTAGACGACATGCCTTATAATGTAAACAACGCCACAAGACGACATGCCTTATAATGTAAACAACGCCATTAGACGACATGCCTTATAATCTACACAACGCCATTAGACGACATACCTTATAATCTAAACAACGCCACTAGACGACATGGCTTATAATGTAAACAACGCCACAAGACGACATGCCTTATAATGTAAACAACGCCATTAGACGACATGCCTTATAATCTACACAACGCCATTAGACGACATACCTTATAATCTAAACAATGTCATTAGACGACATGCCTTATAATCTAAACAACGCCATTAGACGACATACCTTATAATCTAAACAACGCCATTAGATGACATGCCTTATAATCTAAACAACGCCACTAGACGACATGCCTTATAATCTAAACAACGCCACTAGACGACATGGCTTATAATGTAAACAACGCCACAAGACGACATGCCTTATAATGTAAACAACGCCATTAGACGACATGCCTTATAATCTACACAACGCCATTAGACGACATACCTTATAATCTAAACAATGTCATTAGACGACATGCCTTATAATCTAAACAACGCCATTAGACGACATACCTTATAATCTAAACAACGCCATTAGATGACATGCCTTATAATCTAAACAACGCCATTAGACGACATGCCTTATAATCTAAACAACGCCACTAGACGACATGCCTTATAATGTAAACAACGCCACAAGACGACATGCCTTATAATGTAAACAACGCCATTAGACGACATGCCTTATAATCTAAACAACGTCATTAGACGACATGCCTTATAATGTAAACAATGCCATTAGACGACATGCCTTATAATCGAAACAACGCCATTAGACGACAAGCCTTATAATGTAAACAATGTCATTAGACGACGTGCCTTATAATATAAACAACGCCAGTAGACGACACGCCTTATAATCAAAACAGCGCCATTAGGCGACACGCCTTATAATCTAAACCGCGCCATTAGGCGACATGCCATAAAATGTAAACAACGCCACTAGACGACATGCAAGCGTTAAACTATTCAGCTACCCATCGCCGATCAACTGTAAAGGCATCTTAAATATGCTGCCAATTGTATAAACGGAACCTCAGGTTTTTTTACCATCCGAACGACTAGGAATTTTTTCTTGCCAGACCCCTGTCATGTGCCACATATAAAGAGAGAGCAGGTAAAGTGTAATGTCAAATAAGAACCTTACGTAAATACTAAAACCGACCAAGACGTGCATTTTTGTAAGACATTAAGAAAAGTTGTGGTCTGATCCAACCTATATTATACAGTGGTTATCCCCCTACACATGTCGTAATAAAATATCTTGCTTACCGTTAGTTATTTAGTAAACATTTGTGTTGACCCATTTCGTTGATTTACTTCATTTGACAAGTTAAGCTTGGTTTGGTCAACATCTATTTCTAGATCGTTAGACTTTATTTATAGTAACTTACATTTAGTCCCGTATAACCAAACAGTATAACTAGTGATATTACATCAGGTATCAGACCAGTAATTCTCTTCCTCATTGACTTCAATTTTTTAACAAAACATGACATTTCTTGTTGGATTTTTTTTTATCTTAATCTTTATAACACAAAGAGCCCATAATCATGTCACAACCATCTTATAAAGATATTGAAGGGTAGGTGACCGCTTCAACTTTTTGGGACTTTTTTATGTCTGTTTACCACATGATCCAGGGAGTTGGATGGCCGAATGATTTAACAGGTGTGTCATTGAGTCAACTGGCGTGGTTTCGATTCCCCGGTTGTATGTGACAAGGAGTAGGATCGCCTGTCCAATCTCGTGGGTTTTCTCCGGGTCCTCCGGTTTCCTCTCATTGCTAAAGACCCCTACGTGCAAGGGTTGTCGAGTGGAGGTTAAACTCTCTCTCTCAGAGGCAAAACCGTCACAGCTCCTATTTTGTGACAGGTTTTTGAAAATATCGGGCGACTTAGTTGCTTGAAAAAATAAATTACCATATAAAAATAAATTACCATATAAAAATAAATTACCTTATATCATTTATTATTGTAAACAAAATACAACACAGTGTGTTCTTTTACCTTTTACCTTTTACTCCAAAACAAAGGTACATTTATTAATTGCTTTTACGTATCAAAAATTGAAAATCAGCACAAATGTAGATGTATACAGATTTGGTGGTTACTCCCTGCCCCGCCCCTCCTTTTTAAAATCAAGAGTATGTGGAAATACCGTCCTCCATATTCATGCCCACGTGACGATATAAACAATAATAACAATAATATGTTAGTAAGAATTGTGTTGACAAGATGGGGGTTGAGTGTTGGGTGGCCGAATGGTTAGCGCGTGCGCGCTGTATCATGCGGTCTGTCATTGAGTCAACTGGCGTGGTTTTGATTCCCCGGTTGTATGTGACAAGGAGTAGGGTCGCCTGTCCAACCTCGCGAGTTTTCTCCGTGTCCTCCGGTTTCCTCCCACTTCTAAAGACCCCTACGCGCAAGCGAATTATTGAAATATAATTTAACCACATGTTAGTCTCGAAATGACCTAGTTTGTGTCGAGTGGACGTTAAACCTCTCTCTCTCTCTCTGCCTCTCTCTCTCTCTCTCTCTCTCTCTCAGCGAGTGGACGTTGATCCCCATATCTCTCTCCCTCTCTCTCTCACAGCAAGGTGTTTCGAAATTATAGAAAATGAAAAGGGGTTTAAGGTCCTCTCTCTCTCTCTCTCTCTCTCTCTCTCTCTCTCTCTCTCCTGCCTCTAATAGAAGATTGTGGTATTAGGTGTTCCGAGATTAGCTGCTGGTATTTAATACGCCCAGTACAAAATCCATGTCATAACTTGTGTGACATTCATGCATTTTAAAATAAATTTCACTTGAGAAAATCTTCCGACAAACATTGCATGACAGCATTTTCAAAACGCTTCTTTTCTCCACTTCTTGTATCATGTGCCTTTTCAGAAATGGCGGAGCTAGATCCATTTGTGTTGGTATACTGATCTTGTACTTTAATAAAGTATGAACACATAGGGTCTTTAATGACTTGTCGTCACATTCTTCATAGTAGGGCGTGACCACGGCACAAGTATTAATTCGACAAGCACGGAGACGCCTCAGCTCAGTTAAAATGGCCGATATTCCTGACGAACAAACCTCCATTGGTGGTGACGTCATGTCGGTTCCCGACACGTCCAAATCTTCAAGTTTTGTTAAATTTAAGAACGAGAGTGGTAACTGAGTCATGTTGTTCGAGGCTAGATTCAATCGCTTAAGAGATTTTAAAAACCCGACGTACGGCGGAATGGTGGTTATAGAATTGTTAGAAAGATCTAGAATTTCTAGTTTCTGGAGATGAACTATTTCTTTTGGTATCATAACGATACAATTATCGTGAAAGTCAGCCGTTTTTAAATTAACACAACGACTAATTGATAGTGGAATGGCGGGACATTTGACACCACGAATACAAAGTTCTTGAAGTGTTTCTGGAAAGAATCTAGAACTTAAAATGCAATCATATTCGTTTTGAGCAATTATTCTAGGATGAAATTCTATGGTCTCCATGACATCTTTCTTAATATTCACAGTCATATAGGCGCTTGATTGTGATCCGATCTGTGGCACCATTCCAGATACTTCTCTTAGGTATTTAAATATTCCATCAACCCCTTTTGAACATATAGAAGGGTCTGGAGTGGTAAGGGGGTTACCCTCAACATTTAGTTCTACTAAATAAATCATCTCCAAGACATCAACAGAAATGATTTTAATCCTGTTATTCTTCAGAATCAGTCTCTCCAAACGTAGAAAGAGTAGTGCTTGCGGAATTGATTTTAACTTATTATGAGAGAGATCCAATAATGTTAGATGCTTCAGGTCACTGAAGCTGTCTGGCAGTTCTTCTATTTGGTTCCCACGTAAAATCAAGGTAGATAAATTAGGAAATCTGCCAATAGCATTTGGAAATATTGGTAAAACACCATCACGTGGAATCATGAATTTCTGTAACTTTTCTGGCACCCCAACAGAGTTGAGAATCGACGTCAGAGTTTCGGGCGAATACATTCGATCTTTAATCTTCCAGTAAATTGGTTCGAATCTTACTAGAAAACAACTGCAACTGCCACAGCTTAGACAATGTCTATAACCGGAGACGTTACATGCCAAGAGCGAACCGCAAGGTACCCGTTTCGGCTTACAACTGCGACAATTAAACATATTACGCTCCGACTCCGGTAAGACCTCATAATCTGCACAATCCGATTCCCCCCTATTTAAGTGCAGAAAATATCCGCGACCACCATATTCTTCTTCAAAATCGACATAAGCACTTTGTGGTCGTCTGATTAAAGCCCTTATTCTTTCAAGAATGGCTGAAAACATCTTTGAACTAACGTGATAAGATTGAAAGGTCGCCCAAATAAATTAGTTTATTGCTCTATCCAGTTTCTAAAGGCCTCTGACAGATTATCTTGGAATTCGTGACAATGTGAAGTTTATCCAATCAGAATACCTGAAACGATAATTATAAACATTAGCATAACTATCAGTTTCCGGAGGGAAATTTTGCCCGGACAGCGGCAAATTCCAACTGCCAGGGGATCTTTTACGTGCACGCCAATGTGTACACGAGACCTCGGTTTTTCGTCCCAACCGAACGATTAGGCAGCTATCCTTGTCAGGCCCTATAGACTCTTAATCTGAAATTGACGGAAATTTGTGTAGATTATGAACTTTTTGATGTTTTTGACTTCGATATCATAGACGACCTGAAAACAGCTCACCCGAGTGAACACAATATCATCTAACTATCTTGTGTCTAAATTGATCGTCTGCTTAAAAACCAGTGTAAACATGCCTAAAAACAGAAATAAGCGATCGAAACCGGACGAATCATCAAATTCAACAAGCATAAGTGATTTCCTTGACACAGTTCTAAAGGACGAAGATTCTCTAAAACATCTGATATCTGAAATAAACAAACGAGAGGCTATTCTAACCAGATTAGTGCCCCATAAAATTACAAATAAGCTGGAGAAAAGAATAATAGATCTCGAGAATCAGAGCGAGAGAGAGAGAGAGAGAGATGGGGTTTAACGTCCACTCGACACAAACTAGGTCATTTCGGGACTAACATAAGGTTTAATTTTATTTCAATAATTCGCTTGCGCGTAGGGGTCTTTAGCAGTGGGGGGAAACCGGAGGACCCGGAGAAAACCCACGAGGTTGGACAGGCGACCCTACTCCTTGTCACGTACAACCGGGGATTCGAAACCACGCCAGTCGACTCAATGACAGACTTTATGATACAGCGCGCGCACGCTAACCATTCAGCCATCCAACCCCCCCAGGACGGGAATAGACAGAGAGATATTATTGTGAGATTCATATCTTACAGAGACAGAGCTGCGGTTTACAGAAACAAGAGAAAGTTGAAAGATTTCAACATCAGAAATCAATCAAAGATCTATGTAAACGAGACTCTGACAAGAAGACGAGCAAACCTCTTTAGGCAGACCCGGCTGTACGTGGCAAGGAGTAGGGTCGCCTGTCCAACCTCGTGGGTTTTCTCCAGGTCCTCCGGTTTCCTCCCACTGCTAAAGACCCCTACGCGCAAGCGAATTATTGAAATAAAATTAAACCATATGTTAGTCCCGAAATGACCTAGTTTGTGTCGAGTGGACGTTAAACCCCATTTCTCTGTCTCTCTTTAGGCAGACAAGACAATTATTCAGAGAAAAGATGATTAAAAATTGCTGGACTCACGATGGACGCATCTACGTTCAAAACTTGGATGATGATAGGAGCACACATATTTTGACAGAAACTGATCTACTGCAGTTCATACACACAGATAAAAGAGCCCACCCAAAATCCAGGAGTGTTGGCGCTACTCAAGCGTTTGGCGGATCGGCTGCTAAACATCTTCCTAAATATCAAATGAAACAAAGTTCTATTTTAGGCTTTGGAGCAAAACAAAGAGCAATTGGCGATTCAACAACACAGAGAATACAAAACCAAGTGAGTACACCGGAAACACAGGCACCACTATCAGAATCGAGACAAAATTCCATGTTAGATTTTGGAGATATGTCAGAAACAACAAATCACCTAAGAGAACCTACAGATTTATTACTACATGGAACTCAACGACAAGAGAACACATAGGTATTTTAAATAGTGAATCTAACAAATCTTAATAGTTCTCCATACCCTATTTTTTGTACTGTATTCACAATAATCAGATATTATATTTAACCCTGTAATTATAATTGAAATTATACAAGTTCCATATATAGTTTTTAAATACACGTTTCAAAATTGTGGTATGTCTTTTGGACACTAAGTGAAAGATTTTAAAATAAAGAAACAAAATCAATTAGCCTCTATTAGTTTTTGAACAATGTTCACAACTGGAAGAGCTACATGAACGAATAAATGTGTGCTTCATTGAATTATAGAAACTTATCTTTATATACCACACATTGATAAGCATGAAATATCAAGGTAATAGAACACTCATATAAAATAAGACAGTCTATACAGCCCTTGTTAAATGATTTAAATCGCACGATTTACCTTTGTGTATCATAGAATGTTTCAAACTAGTAATGTTCAATTTAAATTTGATCTAAAGATTGAAAATTTGCTACTTACCTCTATCTAACAAAAATCAAAATTTTAATATTTGCTATTAAACTTCAATGATTGAAATGATAAAATATCTCTTTAAATATCATACCATGTTCATGATAATCATTATATTGAACTATGTTGGTATGATTAAATTTATACAAGTTACCTTTAAATATCATACAGTGTTAATAAATGTTTCTTTATCATATTGAACCTTGCTGAAAGTTACAATTTCATATTTTCTAAGAAAGTCAAAACATAATTATTTCTATGTCTTTTGCTCAATAGGTTGTCAACTCTCTATTATACGATCATAGGTTATCTTTCTCACACTTAAAAATCTTCACACCGGAAATAATAACACAATTACCTCCCTTGTTTTCCTATTCCCCACCATGGAATATATCTTCAAACGTTTGAATTTGAAGTTGAAAATGATATTTTTGCCAATTTCTCAACTGGCAATAGTGAATTATAGGATTAATAGGATTATTCTTTAACATGGTAGGACTGTTTATAGATACCATCTATTTTAGGGCTTTATTTTAATTCATTTTAAAAATATAACTTAAAAATATGAAATTGTAACTTTAAATGATTTTTTTTTTTATAAAGCTTGTCTTAAAGGATTTATTGTATTCAATTTATCTTTGAATATCATATAGTATTCATATGATCGAATATATTCAACTTACCTTTAAATATTTACAGTGTATCAAACAAGTTCTATATCATATTGAACATGGGGATCACGTGGCTAAGTGGGTAAGACGCTGGCTCGCTAGCCTGGAGGTCGGGTGTTCGATCCCTGCATTGGCCGAGAAAGTTCATCCAGATTTTCCGGCGTGGTTCCCCCTTGTCAGTGATGCAGGACGGAGGTCCCGTGTATACATTGGAATGCACGTAAAAGATCCCTTGGCAGTTGGAATTCGATATAAGAGTAGGCGATAGTGCCGCTGCCCGGGCAAAATTTCCCTCATAGCACACTGTATGGCGTATGCCCGTCTTCATTAGCCTAGCATAGGAGCAGAACAGTAGGACGTTAAACCCAATTTCATTTCATTTCATTTCATATTGAACATTGTCTGAAATTATTAAATTTATACATCTTACCTTTAAATAGTTACACAGTTTCATAATTTAATACTGTACATGGTTTTAAATTATTAAACTTACCTTCAATACTTATAGTTCTATATCTTATTGAACATTGTTTTAAATTATCAAACTTACCTGTAAATATCATGCAGTGTTCATACTAGTTTCTATATCATAGTGAACTTTACACAACTTACCTGTAAATATTATACAGATTTCAAAATAGTTTCTATTTTATATTGAGCTCTGATTCAATAGAGTTATTTATCTTGTCTTTCATTAAAATAAAACCAAGTACGAACAATCCAAACCATAAGACAGAATTCGAAGTCCTAAAAAACGTTATAGGCAAAATAGTGTATTCAAGCAAAATAGTGTAATCAGCAAATGGACTGCTACAGTGTCATAATAACTCTATATCATATTTGAACTTTTGTCTAGATGATTAGACCTATACACACCTTTACATGGCATACAATATTCAAAACAGCTATATATCAAATATCACATTGAACTTTGTTTACATAATTAGATTTAAACAACTTACCTTTACATAGCATACAGTGTTTCATAATAGTCTCTACCATATTAAGGCTTGTTTTGAAGAATGAATTTATACAACTTACCTTTAAATATCACACAGCTTTGCACAATAGTTCTATATATTAAACTATGGCTATATGATTAAAGTGTTAAACATGTCTTTAGATATAATACAGTGATTGATAACTGATCTATATCATATTTAGTCTTTACTTGAAAGAATTATATTAATACAACTTACCTCAAATGCCATACAGTGTTTCATAAGTCTATATCACATTGATTTTTGTTTAAATGTTTAAAGCATACACCTCACTATAGAGTGTTCATTACTGATCTATTCCATATTGAACTTTGATCTAAATGAAAAAAATATACAACTTAATTTGAAATATCATACAGTGTCACAATGGTCTATATCATATTGTATTTTGTTTAATAATCAGATTTTGTTTAATGATCGGATTTATACAACTTGTGGTTAAATATCATACAGTGAATCATAATAGTTCTACATCATATTTGAACTTTGTTTAAATGAATAAATTAATACAAGTTACCTTTAAATATGTATTAATTTATTCATTTAAACAAAGTTCAAATATGATGTTACCTTTAAATATCAAACATTGTTTCAAAATACATCTATATCATATGATTAAATGATTACATTGTATAAAACTTTTCTTTAGTTAATACATAGGACAGCTTTATAATATATTAAACTTTGTTTAATGATTGATTTTATACCCTAACTCTAATTATTTACAATGTACCAATACAGTTTTATATCATATTGAACGATTACATTTATATAACTTTCCTTTAAATATCACAGTATTTATAATAGTTTCTATATCATACTAAACTTACTTACCTTCAAACATCACAGCATTCCAAATAGTTATATATTGTATTGATCACCTGTTTTTATGAAAGAAATTATAACCTACCCTTGGAATTTACAGCAATTCATCTATTATTCTAGACTGTTTTAATAACTACAACTACAAATATGTTTAATCGAATGGAATTATATAAATTATAGATTAAATGGAATAACGAATGGAAGTATATATAGATTATAGATTATTTGAAAATATTGAACTTAACTGTATCTAACATTAACTGGTCATCATTTTTAAACATCCTTTTTTTAATTTTGTATTATATAATTGAAATTGTATTTTTTACTCACATTACATCTACTGTAAAATGAAGTAAATTATAGTTATGTTCTGCCGGTTAAGTGCATCATTGTATGCATAACTCAAGGAGATTGAAATGTATATATGTTGTTTACTTCTTGTTATGTATTTGTTTTCAGATTTGCCAAAACTATTACCAACTATTTTTATTCCCACTTTGGGCTTTATAGAAAAAAAGTTTTTTCATATTGTATTTTCAAGAAAACTAGCATATATATTTTATTTCAGATTGATAATATACAGTATTCTTACGTACGCTTTAAACTCGTACTTCTCTCCGGAGATGTCGAACAAAATCTAGGTCCCACTGATACTGATGCTATGGTGCATCTCAATGTAAGGAGTCTTCGAAACAAAGTTGATCTTATTACTGCGGAACTTGCTATTGATTATGATTTTATCTTTATTACAGAATCGTGGCTTGACAAAAGCATTTCTTCTAAATCACTATCCATCCCAAATTTTCAATGCACCATACGAAAGGACGGGCAGGGTGGGGGAGTAGCTCTTTATGTTAAAAATCAATTCATGTTAAAACGTAGATTTGATTTAGAAGTCGACAGTATAGAAGGCATCTGGATTGAAACAAACATTAATAAAAACAAATTTCTAATCGGTACTTTTTACAGACCACCTAATTCTAAAATTGACGTGGATAACTATATATTTAATTCTTTTAGTGCAGCAGCATCAAGCGATATTGACAAGATTTTAATTTTTTGGGATTTTAACCTTGATTTATTAACTAAACGTAATACTTTTATTCATAATGTTATGTCTCTTTTTGATTTTAATCAATTAATTTCTGACCCTACGCGTTACAACAAACTGGGCACTAATACCTTAATTGATCTTATTTTATGTAATTGTTCTAGTTTTATTTCCGAATCTTGCTGTCTTGATAATTTTTGTAGTGATCACTGTCCTGAATACTGTCGATTTGACTTTAAACGCCCCAAGCGATCATGTTTTAAACGTACTATCTGGCTTTATGATAAGACTGACTATGACGGGTTGAGACATGACGTTTTGACATATGACTGGGAGTCCATTGTTGATGATTCCGTGGAGCTTTCCTGTGCTGCTTTTACATGTGAACTGACAAAGATTGCAAAGAAAAAATATTCCAAATAAAGTAGTAAATATTAGACCACGTGATGAATTTTGGATGAATAATAGTATTAGAAAACTTGCAAGAAAGAAAACCAAAATTCACAAGCGTGCTGTAAAATCAAATTCCGACCATGATTGGCAAAACTTCAGACAAATTAGAAACGTATATATTGACTTAATTAGGAAATGTAAGAAAGAATATTTTCAAAAATTTGACGATAAAATCAACGATCCCAAAAACTTTGGCAGTAAAGATTGGAAGCATCTTGTCAAATCATTTTTAAGGATGAACACTCCACAAAGATCGATTTACCCCCAATTGTCAACAATGGAGTCACGGCGTTTTCTGACCTTGAAAAGGCAAACACTCTTAACAAATTCTTAATCAAACAATCACAGCTCGACACAGCCAATGCACATCTTTCTTCAATTCTTAAACAAAATCCATCTTCACTGTGCAATATTAAGCAAACACCTCAGGAGGTTAAAGACATGCTTCTATCTATTGATGTTTCTAAAGCAAATGGGCCAGATAAAATCAATGGTAAACTTTTGAAGTCTATAATTTTTGAAATTTCTGTACCACTATGTAATTTATTTAACTTATCTTTATCTTCTAAAACAGTACCCTCTATTTGGAAAACGGCTAATGTCATAGCTATTTTGAAAAAAAGGTGACCCAGCGAAATGTGGCAATTATATAGACCTGTTTCTCTTCTGAGTATAGTTGCTAAAATTTTTGAAAAATGTGTATACAAGCATGTTTTTAACTTTTTTCGGGCACACTCCGTTATAACTAATCTGCAAAGCGGTTCTTTGCACGGCGAATCAACGACTTATCAATTAATTGATCTTACACACTTCTTTTGTCAAGCCATTGATGAAGGCCAGTACACGAGGGCAGTGTTCTGTGATATTAGCAAGACTTTTGACAGGGTCTGGCACGCAGGACTCTGTCATAAGCTTGGGGCGGTGGGGATAAGAGGAGGTCTACTTGACTTGTTCAGAAGTTATTTAACCAATAGAAGCCAATCTGTGATTGTCAGTGGTACCTCGTCTTCTCCTTTGACTGTCCCTGCTGGTATTCCACAGGGCTCTGTCCTCGGACCGCTCCTCTTCCTTATTTATATAAATGATATTGTTGAAAACCTTAATTCTAATGCTAGATTATTTGCAGATGATACCAGCTTGTACTTGAGAATCCATGACCCAACTGCATGCGCGGCTGTCCTTAATGAAGACCTAGATAAGATCAATACATGGGCCAAGACTTGGCTGGTCTCTTTCAACCCACTGAAAACTGAAACACTTACAGTATCTACTAAAAAGGACCAAATATTGCCAACACTGTCACTAGACCACACTGCAATAAAGGAAGTATTCGAGCACAAACATTTGGGGCTGACTTTTCAAAATGACTGTAAATTTGATAGACATATCGACAATATCTTGACGAAAACTTCTAGGCTTGTAAACATTCTCCGCTCTCTGAAGTACAGACTAAATAGAAATTCTTTGAAAATATTGTACATATCATATATTCTTCCGCATTTCGACTATTGTGATGTCATATGGGATGGGTGCACCGACGAACTTACTAACTAACAAACTAGAATCATTGCAACTTGACGCACTCAAAACGATATGTGGTGCTGTTAGGGGGACCAGCCATAGACTTTTATACGAAGAAACCGGTTTTATCACACTACAGGAGAGGCGAAGGCGTCATAAACTTATACTCTTTTACAAAATTATGAATCATCTTACACCACCTTATCTTCATGAAATGATATTATTCCCGGAAAAGCCTTATAACCTTCGTAACAAATCTAATTTATCAGAGTACTTTTGTAGAACATCTTTATTTTCGAAATCATATATACCATCTACGATTAAGGAATGAAACCGACATTCTGACTTTTTAAATCATCTCCCTCTATCAGTATATTTAAAAGTAAATTGAAAAAATTTGACACACAAGCGCCATCATACTTAAGTTTAGGAAAAAGAAAAAATCAGATTTTACATTGTCGACTTCGTCTTTCCTGTAGTGACTTAAATGGTCATAAGTTCTTTAGGCACATCTCAGACAGCCCTGTATGAGCTTGTGGTCATGATTTTGAAGATACCGAACATTACCTTTTAACCTGTCCTCTACATTTCGATGCACGTAAACATTCAATTTTTACCTTACCCCAAAACGTGATTTCAATACAGACATTATTAAAAGGCACTAACGATATTAGTATTTCAAGTATTATCTTTAAACAAGTCCATAGATTTCTAGACATCTCCGGGAGGTTTAAATAAAAAAATTATCCAGTAGCTAAATATATGAATATGGCAAACCTGAAATTGTAAATATGTACATAGCCCCCCCCCCCCCTTTTTTTGTTCATTTTATTCTTATACTATTTAGATTGATTTATCATAACATGGTTATATAGTCTTTTTGTATATATTTTCTGTCATATAGGAAAGAGGTAATATAGGCCTAGCCTGTTTCCCAATCCTTTTCTGTGAATAAAATATTGTTTATAAAAAAAAATATATTCAATGGCTCCTGAACCAGATAATGGTATGTTTATATTTGTTTTCCTATTGCAGTAAATGTAATGTCTAATAAAACACTTGACGAAAATCTTTTGCCCAACAAAAACATAAGCAATGGAAACAGTTGTGGTCTGATTCCAGTGTCACTCTACCTTGTTATTCCCCTTTATTAATAGAAAAAGAAATGAAATGGGGTTTAAAGTCCTACTGTTCTGCTCCTATACTGGGCAAATGAAGACGGGCAAACGCCATACAGTGTGCTATGAGAGAAAATTTGCCCGGGCAGTGGCACTATAGTCGACTCGATCTTACATCTGCTTACCGTTAGTTATTTACAAAATTTGTAAATGTTTATGTATTCCTCTGCTAAATCGTACCCTATATCCATCAACAAATGAAACAATTAATATTATATGGTACATGCTTTACATCACTTCGTTGATTCAGTCCAGTTTGATCGTCATGCTCAGTGAGGCCGAGGTCAACATCCATTTAGATAGTTGCCCGGGCAGTGGCACTATAGTCGACTCGATCTTACATCTGCTTACCGTTAGTTATTTACAAAATTTGTAAATGTTTATGTATTCCTCTGCTAAATCGTACCCTATATCCATCAACAAATGAAACAATTAATATTATATGGTACATGCTTTACATCACTTCGTTGATTCAGTCCAGTTTGATCGTCATGCTCAGTGAGGCCGAGGTCAACATCCATTTAGATAGTTGCTATTGGTATTATTTATAGTAACTAATGTTTAGTCCAGGACATCCGGTATTTTTATGGGGTTTTTTATACTGGATAACCCCGACTGAAACGCACGTTACTATTTATATATTATTATGTGTGTGGACAACGTTGGTCTAAAAATAGATGGTGACTCCAAAGTTTACGTTGACAGTGATGTGTTGTTAAATGTGTTTAGTTTACATACGTTTTTCTACCCCTAGAACATTTCTTGAAGCCACCCTACTATCAGGGAACGCAGAGAGGGTAGCAGGTTGCAGTCTGAATGTACAATTGGTAAGTTAACGCAAATTTTATTAAAGGGAAATAGCTCCACTCTGTCGTTGGAATCAGACCACAGTATATTTTACGCCTTCCCACTATCAAAGAACATAGCGAGGGGAACTGTTTAAAAATGTTTTCAAATTGATTGTGAAGTTCTGCATGTCGAACGATATGGTTGACGTCGATCTAATCAAAGGGAAATAACAACTTTTACATTGCAGTAGGTTTCAGACCACATCGCTTCACGATGCAATTTACAATTTTGTAATCACAAAAACAAAATGAAATGTATTTAACGCCCTACTGTTCTGCTCTGAACTTGGCTAATGAAGACGGTCATACGCCATACAGTGTGCTATGAGGGAAATTTTGCCCGGACAGCGGCCTAGTCTTATATCGAATTCCAACTGTCAAGGGATATTTTACGTGCACGCCAATGTGTACACGGGATCTCGGGTTTTCGTCCCATCCGAACGACTAGACAGCTATCCTTGTCAGGCCCTCCCGTCCTGCATCACTGTCAAGTTGGAACCACGCAGGAAAATCTGGATGAACTTTCTCGGTCAATGCAGGGATAGAACACCCGACCTCCAGGCTAGCGAGCCAGCGTTTTACCCACTTACCAACCGTGGCCCTAATCACAAAAACAACAGTTTTAGAATTCTAAAAAGTCAAAATAAAAAAAAATTGATAGATCAAACATTTGATCAAAAATAATTTAAAAATCACCTGTTATCATCCTTGTTTCAGATATTTCGATTCGATTGAGTACTGGTCAATAATTCCTCAAAGATGTCCTCGTCTTTTCTGGAAAGAATCAAATCCTTATTCCGCCGTTCCAAAAATGCCACTCCAGATTTAGAAATGGATTTCCCAGATGATCTATTGACTCGTTTTAATCAGCACCGATATTTTCTTCATTTAGACGAGCAATGTAATCAACTGATGGATACTGACAATAATGAGTTGGCTCACGTCTGGGGGACTTCTCTAATGTTTAAATGTGAATTCTGTAAAAAGAAAAGATTGTATTGTGGTTCGTACCAAGAATGTAACGATTCCAATTATCGGCAATGTCTTACTTGCGGCAGTACAAATTGTGTTTTAATTCCATACGAACCAATTTATTGGAAACTAAAATCCGTCATGAGCTCCGACAAGACTCTCACGTTAATTCTCAACACGGTGGGACTTCCAGAAAATTTACTAAAGTTCTTGGTTCCACCTGGCGGAAATTTACCAATATTTTCAAATGCTATTGGCAGATTTCCTAATTTATCTACTTTGATTTTACGTGGAAACCAAATAGAAGAATTGCCAGACTGTTTCAGTGATCTGAAGCATGTAACATTTTTGGATCTCTCTGATAATAAGTTAAAATCAATTCCTCAGACATTATTCTTTCTACGTTTAGAGAGATTGATTCTGAAGAATAATAAGATTGAAATCATTCCTGTTGATGTCTTGGAGATGATTTATTTAGTAGAACTAAATGTTGATGGTAATCCCCTGACCTCTCCTGGTCCATCCATATGTTCAAAAGGGGTTGTAGAAATATTAAAATTTCTAAGACAGACAAACGAAACGAAACAAAAAACCAACACAGGAGACTATATAACTGCAGATAACAAGACTGTCTCGGAAACCGTTGAATGTCAACGCAGAATTATCGCTCAAAACGAATATTTCTGCACCGGGAAAGAAAGCGGCGGTGCCTACGGTGCCTACATGACGGTGGTGACCGAAGGGACCACAGAAAGAACAGAAATGCATCCTAGGGTTGTGGCCCATGAGGATTATGATCGCTATTTGCGGACTAGATTAAATCCAGAAATAATCCAAGAACTTTGCATTCGCGGCATCAGATGTTATGCAATTCCAAAATCAATTGGTCGATGTCTTAATCTAAGAATGGCTGACTTTCAGGACAATCAGATCGCATCCATACCACAAGAAATTGTTCATCTCCAAAAACTCGAAATTCTAGATGTTTCTAATAATTTCATCTGCAGAGTTTCACCCTGTGTCGGGTTTTTATCATCTTTAAGGCGATTAAATCTAGCCTCGAACAATATAACTCACTTACCTATGTCGTTCTTAAATCTACCACGACTTGAAGAACTCGACGTATCGGGAACCAACATGACGTCACCATCAATGGAGATCTGTTCGTCTGGTTTATCCGCCATTTTCACAGAGTTAAAACTACTGCGTTCGTGTCGAAGAAATAAAGATGCCTTTCTCAAAGCCTGGTACGATGATGCTGAAGGTGCTAACTGTAATTTGGAGGTTAATTCTTTAAAATCATTGTGTCTCCAAACTTTACTGACGTATAAAATGAGTTTACCAACACAGATGACGTCAATGCCGCCATTGTATAAAAGACTTATCACACAGGAAGTGGCCCAAAGAGACGTTTTCAAAATGATTTCATGCCATATTTGTCAGAAGAACTTCTCCAGTGAAGTTTATTTTAAAATGCATGAATGTCACACAGACTATGACGTAGAGTATGTATTGACACACTGTCGAAAATATATAAATATCACATAAAATGAAACGTGGTTTAGCGTCCTACTTTTTTGCACCGACTGGGCTAATGGAGAGAGCGGGAGAAATGGTGTTTAACGTCCACTCGACACAAACTGGGTTATTTGTGGACTAACATATGGTTTAATTTTATTTCAATAATTCGCTTGCGCGTAGGGGTCTTTAGCAGTGGGAGGAAACCGGAGAAACCCCACAAGGAGGGACAGGCGACCCTACTCTTTACTCACGTACAACCGGGTATTCGAAATCACGCTAGTTGAATTAATGACAGGCCTTATGATACAGCGCACACGTGCTAACCATTCGGCCATCCAGCCAGGGCTAATTGAGACAGTAGGTCAAGTAATCTGTTTACTGTATTTATTTTTATATAATTCTAAAAATAGCAAGATTTTACATTAAGGGCAATGTGTTAAAAAAAAGATTTAAGACAAATAGACTCAATTTCTATATTTCTGTTTTGTATGATTAATAGTTTTAGATTTTAATGTGATTTTAAGATATGAAATGAAATGAAATGGGGGTTTGACGTCCTACTGTTCTCCTTCGAACTGAGCTAATGAAGACGGACATACGCCACACAGAGTGCTATGAGAGACATTTTGCCCGGGCAGCGGCACTACAGCCTACTCTTATATCAAATTCCAACTGTCAAGGGATCTTTTACGTGCACGCCAATGTGTACATGGGACCTGGGTTTTTCGTCCCATCCGAATGACTAGACAGCTGTCCTTGCCAGGCCCTCCGTCCTGCACCACTGACAAGGGGGACTTTAAGATATATTGTTACACGCGGTGACTGCAATGTTAACAATGTACTATGTCGTTTTATTTGTTTTAATAAAAATATTTATTAAAGAAAACAATATTTTTATCTCTATGGGAATGTACAAGGGGTGGGGCAGAGGTGGCGACGTTCCCTGGCATCCATTTCAGGAGGGGGAGGGGGGATGTCATCAAAGAGTAAAATTATAATAACTTTCTTGTACATGCTGCCCTACTCAAGCTAAATAAAAGGGCTATTTCGTCTTTTATACATATATAAAATGTCTCCCTTTCTCAATTTTTTGAGTAGATTGGTATTTCCCACAAGAATTAGGGACATGTATTGTTGATCTTGATCCAGAATTCATGATGGATGAAAATGACCTCTCCACCGGCCCGCTCATATTCTGGTCTTAAGAAACGTCGATAAAAGGAGTTATTTCCCTTGTATGGCAAACCTGTTTTCGATCTCATGTTCAGTTTTAAATAATATAAGAGAGATAAATGGGGTTTAACGTCCTCTCGACACAAACTAGGTCATTTCGGGACTAACGTATGGTTCAAATTTTATTTCAATAATTCGCTTGCGCGTAGGGGCTTTAACAGTGGGAGGAAACCGGAGGACCCGGAGAAAACCCACTAGGTTGGATAGGCGACACTACCATTGTCACGTACAACCGGTGAGGAACTTTCGGTCGATTTGGATTATAACGTCTGTTATTAAAGATACTTTCCTGCGTAAAACTGGGTGATTTGATGACATATTTGGACTAAAAACATATTCAAACTAATTAATCTATCAAAAATTTGCTTCAAATCGCTCTCAAAACTTTGTATTCGCGGGTAGATACCCCAATCTATGACAAAATCTGTTTTTAGATTTAGGGAGGGTCCTTTTTTCAGAATGTCATTACTTACTGTCTATTTACCCTATATATTGAGACTTAGGTAAATTCTTGAATTATTTTGTGTCAACTTCTTTATCTGCCGTTTAATTGCAGTCTGTTATACGTTTACACCCCTCAATGTTCCCCAAAACGTCTAATCCATTCGATCAGGAAAAAACAACCACTCCCTCAGTCAAGTTGGTATACAATAAGCCGTCGGGTGCTTGCCCCATTGATGTTTTTCGGGTAATCCAGTATTTGTCTAGTAAGATTGGATGTCTATACTTTCCATATATACCAAATTTGCCATACTTTTATTGGAATTAACAACCCGATAAATACTTTCTTGACAATGTATCTTTAAGTCAAGGTGGCTTGGATTTGGACGAGGGGGGGTGGGGGGTGGATGGCCGAATGGTTAGCACGTGCGTGCTGTATCATAAAGCCTGTCATTGAGTCAACTGGCGAGGTTGGACAGGCGACCCTACTCCTTGTCACGTACAGCCGGGGATTCGAAACCACGCCAGTTGACTCAATGACAGGCCGTATGATACAGCGCGCGCGTGCTAACCATTCGGCCATCCAACCCCCCTACTGCTAAAGACAGCTACCAGTAAGTGAACTGAGTTTCTAAATTATATTATAGTTTTTGTTGAGCGGGCGTTAAAACTCATTTCTCTTTCTAGAATCAATAACAGTGTCTCACTCAGCCTAAAAAAACTTTCATCTTGTACTTGGCCTTGCAATGTAATTTATCATTGTTGGAGATGGAAAAGTGTTCGATCCCTGCATTGGCCGAGAAAGTTCATCTGGATTTTCCGGCGTGGTTTCCCCTAGTCGTTCGGATGGGACAAAAAACCGAGTACCCGTGTATACATTGGCATTCACGTAAAAGTTCCTTTGGCAATTGAAATTCGATATAAGAGTATGCCATAGTGCTGCTGCCCGGTCAACATTTCCCTCATAGCACACTGTATGGCGTATGCCTGTCTTCATTCGTCCAGTCGGGGTAGGACGTTAAACCCCATTTTATTTCTTCATTTCCGTCTTGCTGTAGCCACAGTAGTGGATAGTTATAAGGATTTTGTAATCACTGACCTATAACTCCCTTAATTTCCAGATAAACTGACCCCAAACCGTACTACACATAGCTTAATGTATAATAAACAGATTCCCATTGAAATAAAGCAGAAACCTTACCACATAAATTCGCGATTTAATGTAGAAAAACTGTTTGGTAACTATTTCAGCGCTCCACTCTTCACTAGACAAGACGCCGCAACAATATTGCAGCTATGAGTTCCGTTCAATTTCTTTCCTTGTTGATTAAATTAAACATGTGAAATAATCCTCAAAAGTTGTATTTTGACTTTGAAAACTGGAGTTATCTCCCCTGTAATACGAAACCTGCAAGATACCACATGGTGTTTTCTGTTTGAAAATGAAGAAAGTAAGGAAAGCACATTTCATAAATAATTATACCGGTAAAAAAAACCACAATCCATACATTATTTATAACATACCGTCAGAAAATTGAGTGACTCAGTTTTGACTAATAATACAAAAGAGACAAAACAATTAAGAAAGATACATTCCAGGGGAAAATAGTGAAATTGGATTAGACAAGTCTTTTTTGGTTTTTTTGTTTTTGGGTTTTTTTGGGGTTTTTTTTTTTAATATAACTTTTAATTCTGTCTAAGAGAGAGAGAGAGAGAGAGAGAGATATTGTTGGACTTGGTGGCCCAAAATTGTGTTAATAGACATATTTAATAGATAGTTTTGTTGGTTCTTTAATCAAAATAAAGGAGCCTATCTTTATTAGCCCAGTCGGTGCAGATAGGTGGACTTTTCTTTTCATTTAATCAAAAAGAGAGAGGGATTAACGTCCACTCGACACAAACTAGGTCATTTCGAGACTAACACATGGTTCAATTTTATTTCAATCATTCGCTTGCGCGTAGGGGTCTTTAGCAGTGAGAGGAAACCGGAGGACCACCGCATTAAGAAAGTATGATTGTTACATACATGTACATATTTACCTTCTTTTTTTCGTATTTGATCGATGAGTTTTACTGCCACGTCTCCATACAAATGTATGATAAATTGTTTCCATAGCATTTAGTAATTGAACTGGAATACTGGACCCGGTTTCACAAAGCATTCTCAGACTTAAGTCAAGTATTTACTCAAAATAGTTCGCCTTATTTTAACTAAAACAATAGCCCTTTATAAAACTTTTATTGTTTTAGTGTATCAAATACATCTCTAAGAAACTCTGTGCAAAGTTTTGTGTTTCTGGATCAATGATATTTCTCATAAACAGTGATTGAAAGTTGAGTAAATTCTTAACTTAAGTCTGAGAATGCTTTGTGAATTCGGGGCAAGGTCAATTACAAAATACGAAAAGCAGAGGGTTATTACCAATATTACTTTCTTAATTTGATTGGATAATATTAGATTGATTTTAGTGCTTAGCCAATCAAAATTGAAATATCTACTAATATTTGGATTTTATCTTTAGTTAAAGGGACAATAACATTCTTGCTGGCTTGACAGCTCCAGTAAATAAATAATAGCCTTATTCTAAGTATTAGATGTTTATGTGTCCTACCTGTTGTGTAAATTATCCATTACATCCTATTTTACTTGTCCAGAGGGTTCGAAAATATTTTTAAATCAAGCCACATTTGAAAAGGTTTACGTTAGGCTTTTCAAATCATTTAGTTGAATTTTTCCAAATTTTTAAATTAGGTGTGTTAAGATGAAATTTGTATCATCAATTAATTGGAATGCTGTAAAATAATACAATTTGTTGACCAGAATAAAGATTGGGACATATTATTCTGTTACAACAAGAGTGGTATTGAGCCTTTAACGCGATGGATGGGATGCCGGTATAGTATTAGAACGGTAAATCTGGTTTGATCAGCATTGACCAAGTATTGTTGTGTACATGTATATGTTGTCTTGTTATATTTTCATATTTTATCATTGAAACATATTATAAAATACATTAAAACAATTTTAAGAGAAAACATTGAAATGGAAATGAAGAATTCGTTAGTTTTTTTTTGGATTTGTTTTTTTTTTTTTTAATATTGCTTTTACGTCCGCCTATACACTGTCTATGCTATTAATCATTATAAAGAATTAATTCTAAAACGAATTGTCTGTCTTTTTTCTGATGTGATGGGGGTGGGGGAGGGGGTGTATTTAGCCAAAAGGGGTAGTGAGCTTATAATATATCACTCTTACATACTCTTCGTCACGTGACTGTTGTTAAAAACATTTGACAACACAGCGATACAATTGGTGGACAAAGGCTTTATACGACATCTATTAGCTTGATCAAAAATAAAATGGACGACTTTTCTTTTCGTTCTATGTTTAAGGGTATTTTAAATATCAAATTCAAGATGGTGGCATGATAAGATGGTGTGGAATAGTTTGCACAGATTTATTAATCTTTATAGAATCAGTGAAAATGAAATGAAATGGGGTTTAACGTCCTACTGTTCTGCTCCGAACTGGGCTAATAAAGACGGGCATAAGGAAATTTTGCCCGGACAGCGGCACTACGGCCTACTCTTAAATCGAATTCCAACTGACAAGGGATCGTTTACGTGCACGCCAATATGTACACGGGACCTTGTTTTTTCGTCCCATCCGAACGACTAGACAGTTGTTATCACTGACAAGAGTTTATAGAATAATAAAGTATAATATTATATTTGTACATTAACACATGTCAATTACCATTTCTAGTATGGGTATTCTTTTTCTAATTCTTGTAAGGAGGGGGGGGGGGTAGTTAGCGTGTGTTCGTTGTATCATAAAGTCTGCCATTGAGTCAACTGACGTGTCTTCGATTCCGCGGTTGTACGTGACAAGGACTAGGGTCCGGGTCCTCCGGTTCCCTCCCACTGCTAAAGACCCCTACGCCCAAGCGAATTATTGAAATAAAATTGAACCATATGTTAGTCCCGAAATGACCTAGTTTGTGTCGAGTGTTCAAATTAAAAGAAGAAATTTTGAGACTTGTATTCCAGTCTAGGGTACCAAGAACCTTAGTAATATCTCCCCCCCCCCTCTCTCTCTCTCTCTCTCTCTCTCTCTCTCTCATTAGTGCCTTCATTATCCCGGTAGGTGCAGAAAAGTAGGACGTTAAT